TTTGTACGAATTCCGTTTTTATTTCACAAGTAAGTGCACCGGAAAAATAATTGGTATGGTTGGGAGACTTTTTAAATTTGATTTTGAATGTTGAAATTATCAAAAATTGTATGTTTGTATTTTCTAATTATGATTTTAGGGGTCGAAAATATCTATATATCATGACTAGATCTGGAATTTTGAAAAGTATCATCAGGTACAATTTGGGAGAACATTTAATTAATCTACCTTGTTAGTTTTAACAATCATCAATTGTTTGTTTTTCAATTCCCAAATAGGGTTATTTCAGTATTTATTTTTTGAGGAACAGGAAGTGAAAATTCCCGAAAAATCCCATTAAATTGATATTACCAAATTAAGAACTGTCCAAATAATCCTTTATTGTCTCCATGTGGAAATGGAGTGAATCTCTTTGGCTATATACCGCCTTTAACCTTGTCAGTAGTCAAAGTGCTAGCCATTAATTGCGCCAGGCAGATAGCAGCCGGCAATTTATTTATCTGGCTATATATACGAGAATATGCATATATATATATATATACGATCCATGCCTGGCTGGCTTGTTGCTAAACTGCAAATACTTGCACTCGACAGACAGAGTGCAACAATTTTATATCTGCCCGTCTGCAGTTCTCTTTGTTTCGCTTTGGATTTGTTATAATTTCAACAACTTCCGCATTGTCAAACATATAGCATGCATCCTATATATACGAATATATAGTATTATATATATGGCACAGCTAATGCCGACGTCGTCTGCAATCAATGAACCAAGCCACAAAAAGTTATTAATAATAGAAAACTAAAATATTCGTTTGGTTTTTCGCCCACATTTATTATACTCGTTTAACTCATTTTGCACTTTGTACTCATAACTTAAAAATGCAAATTATATTTCTATTTGATATTTTAATTCGTGTTCTTTGTTTCCATTTCCAGGTTGGCATTGAGTAAATTACATTTCGGAAAATTGCCAAAGTAATTAGTGAGGTAAGTTTTGTGGATTTCATGGGTTGATTATGCATAAGAAAGTACATTAAGGTCAACATGTTATTTATGTTTATTCCATTTAACCAATTAATTATATTTAGACTTGAGCTTTGTCCAAGTTATATTTGTATTTTCCATCGCGATGACGCGTTATATTAGATAATGGCAATGCCTTCTTCACAAAAATCAGCAAAAAGAGGCAGAATTTATATACAATATATGTATAAGCAAAGAGCAACCGATTGGCCCTGAACTTGACTTGAGTTGGTCTTTTGGAAAATAGAGTCAATGGTCTGGCCTCTAGTATACGGCCAAAAAAAGTGCTTAGTTGCTGAAAGCGTCAGTCAGTATGGGTATTTTTGTATATATTTTTGTTATTACTTTTTATCAGTTCTTTCCACGATTTGTTGTTGCTGTTGGGGCCAATGAACGTGAAGCTTGCAAATCAGCGAAAAAAAATACAAAAAATATATACATACATATATAAGCTGAAAGAAAATGGGGAAAAAATTGTTTATACAAGCTAGCAAATTGCTAAATGCTTTCTTCTCTATCACATGCAAAGTGCATGTGAGCGAGCGTTCTATTTAAGCTGGCTGAGGGATATAGAGCTATAGCTCATCAAAAATCTGAACAGTCTAGTGGAATCACGTTTAACAAACTGGAACGATTTCCGGTTAAATAGGATTTATTGATAATCTATATTTAAGTGATTTTCTTGAAAAAATGATTACTTTGATTTCCTGCTAAATGGGTTTTATTGTTTGTTTTTATTTTATGACTCTCAAATGGCTTTCTGACTTTCTGCTTATAGATAAAAAACAAAGTTTAAAGTTTATCATTGTAATTGAAAGTTTTTATTTAACTATATCATTATTACTTACCTATTAAATTATTATCAAATAATAGTTATGGGCTATGAATCCACCCTTATCAAAGTTTTCCTGGAAAAATGCGAAACCCGAATCCCTTTGTTTAAACAGCCCATCAAATTAGTGGGCATTATTAATTTACAACACCACCACCCCCCCTGACAAAAAATACGAATTGAAAATGGAAAATTTGTAGGGGTTGGCCGAAACAAAATGAAAACATAATGTAGATATATAGAAAATACCCACACATGATTCCACTGACCAAGTGGGAGTGCAGAAATTTGCCATTGTTATTCGGCCCTCGAAGAGGAGGTGCCTCGTCTGGCGCCCCTTGTGCCAATTTCCATTTGATAAACATAAACAAATCGATACGCGTCACAACAACGTCTCTTATGGATGGGGGATGGACGTGGTGGCGGGGATCTGGGGGAGATCTGGAAGGACTGCTGCATCAGTATATAGACTAACAAGCTTTGTGTACACACTCGCCGGCTAGCCCCCACAAAAAAAAAAAAAAAAATAGAAAACAGAAAGAGAATATAGCTCCTGGGGGTGGTTTTTCTCGGAAGGGTGTGCTGGAAAATTACGACGCAGATATCGCCGAGTTGAGTTCTGAAGGATAAATCCTGTCTCTCCATCACTGCTTTCTCTCGTTCTCACCCACTTTGGCATGTCCTTGATAGTCTGCGGTTGGCATTTTGTTGTGCTTCTGCTTATTCATAACAAAAACAACAGTGAATCGCTAGAAAGCCTTTCACCAGGAAGCTTAGTTAAAGGCTTAAAACAAAGCTCTCGCCTTGGGCGTTGGCAGATGGTCACAGTAAATATTAATGAATTAATTAATTAGGGTTTATTTATGTTTTGGCGTGCGCAGTGAATTAGAAAAACTCACAGAAAATGGGAAATTCGCGGCAATGCATAAACAAGAAGCGAGACTGTGGGGAAACGCCCATTAAAAGCAACGACGAAGGACAACGCCCACAAAAGGAAAATAAAACGAAAAAGGAAACTTATTCAAGGTCTTTGAAGCTTTGCACTGCCTTGAACTTCGGCAAACTGAAAGCGAAAGTGAAAGTGTGGAGCTTCGATCCAAATGAAACCCGAATTGTAACCCCCATATATATATATCTGTATCTACATATATATCTAATCCCTACTCTGTTACGTAGGCGGCTTCGGCGAGTATCGGGAATATATTTGGTAAATACTCGAATGCCGGCGCCCACGTCCTTGAAAATCATTTCTCACTCCTCCCTTGACAGGGGCATATACATTGGGGGTCAGGAAAGTAGGTGCTTGGGTGGCTAGTATTTTATTCAATTAGTTTTTGTGTTAAGAAAGTCTTAGTAAATGAAAGTTCAGGAGATGAAATATCTAAAATACATTGCGAAATATGTAGGGTTATCCTTGAAAGTTTTTTTGTTATTACCTGACCTTAAAGACAGGACCTCTGTTATGGTGTACTTTTGTTTTGACCGCAGCTGTACATACGTACTTATTTACAATGTTATGTTTTGCAATCGTGGGTGTTGTGGGTGGTGGTTGAGTGTTAAACATAGCGTGGGATCGGGCTGTTATCCTTGTTGCTCCCTACGTATCCTTGGCGTTCCCTCTGCAAGTTGGGTCGCAATTTCACATTCAAGGACATGGTCGTGATTTGCTGTCACAGCAGCTACTGGAAAAATAACAAAACAACAAGAACTCCGTGCGTCAGTTGGTTATTTTCCTCGTCGTTGGGTATTATGGACATACCCAGATACATAGAACCCACGTCTGCCTGTTCATTATGTGTATTTACAACTCAATTTCATCGAATTTGTAGACCCTTCTTGTTGCCTGGTATCTATATGGAGGGCTTTCAATTTGATTTGATCCAAGGAAAAGTTGTCTATTAAATCTTGAGAATAATTTGTGGTGAGTCCTTGAATATTACAAGACAAATAAATGGGGCTTGCTTAATGAGTTGAACTAATTTCTTTTCCTGAATTAGAATTTCAAAGAAATATAACATCGAATGACCCTTATCATCAACTGCAGGATAAACAAATAAAGAAATTATCGGAATTCGATATAACATAAACAAAACCATCGAAACCAGATAAAAGCTCAGTAAAATATATCTGCTGAAGGGTCAGTTTTTCCGTTTTTAAAAATGCCAGCTAAGCTCAACTCTATATCGCATTACACTTTTATGGAGCATATTGCATCAGCTGAATATTTATACATCCGAGAAGCTCCAATATGACGAATATATCAAATCAATCCAAGAAATATGACAGAAAAAGCGAAATGCAAAAGATATCTAAAGAAATCAAATCAAACTTGAATTGATATGGCTTTTTGTGCTTCCTTCTTGATTGTTTTTCTTATAAACAAACTAATAAAGATCGGTTGCAAAGGGGAAAAAGTGCAACGTCAGCGAAGGAGAAGAAAACGCGCGCATTTTGCTTATTTTTTTATTGCTTGCAATTTTACTTAATTCTACAATTGGCTTATAGTATTTTGTATTTTTTCGATTGCTGTAAACAAGTTTATTTTTACACTGGCGAAAAATAAAATCAAATCAAAATCAAAGCGCCAGACAATTTCATAACAAAAATTTGCATAAAAAAAAGCCCAAACGAAAACAACAACAATAGCGAATGGGCATGAAAAAGGGAAAACAAGCAGAAGTAAACAACAAAAGTGACGTCAAAACAACAGTGCAAGCAAAATAAGGAGGAAGAGAAAGAGACCGCGGAAGAGAGAGTGGCGGCGGCAAAGCTTTGAAAATGAATTTATTTAATAATCAAATGCAAAAAGCAGAATCATAATAAAAACCAAAACAACAGACTGTACTCGAGCTTTTTGTGCCGCCTCTCTTTTATTTCCATTCTTCTTTCTCTCGCTCCAAAATCGAAAAGTGGAAGTGAAAGAAGCAACAGACTGTGTTTAATTTTGTGTATGTGTGTGTGGGAGAGATGGTGGGGGCATGCGCTTAGGCCGCTCTCTCAAAAGCTGCTCTCCCCAACACTGCAAGAAAATATATTATTATCATTGTCACGGCAAAAGTAAATATAATAGATCAGCCAGAATTCTAAGTCTGAATTAAAGAGCAATAATTAGGACTTAAACCAGATAGTTTTCATTTGCACTATAAAAGTGTAAAAATACACCAATATTTTCAATTTAATATCAGCCGTTGGCTTTTTTCCGGTGCACTCTCTTCCAGCTGTACAATCAAAACAAAAGCGATTGAAGAGCTTTTGGCGCTCTGCTTTTTGGCTTTGTCGCCGAGCTTTGCACACTTTTTATCAATCGGTCAAGAACGTTTGACGAGCGCAGACCAACAAAAATAATCCAACAAGAAGCTAAAGACTCTTTCAAAGCCAAACAGTGTATTGGTGAGCACACACACACACACAAACGCACACATCAAGTGTGATAATCAAAATAAAAAGGAAAACAAAAACAATTAAAGTGTACCGAGAAGATTGAAAAAAAAAACTTTAGAAAAAATCATCTACATAATTATAGTAGATTTGTCATAATTTCGTGAACACCAATAAAAACAAGTTTTTTAGGAATAGCCGCGTTTAACGAACTAGTTTCCGAGGCAACGAAAAACTATAACAATTTGCATAAATAAATAAACCAACAAACATAAACGCTGCCAAACTTGACGAATGCTTTGGAATTTGTCTACCGAATAATATATATACATAAAGCGCTGTGTGCGTGTATATATGTATATAAATTCTTATTAGAACCCCACACACTCCAAAACAAAAACAAAAAAGCGCGAGAGAGAGAGAGAGCAAAGCAAAAAGCCCCAAAGTTTAGGCTTTGCTCTTGCTGGCTCTTTCTTCCATCGATCAGTTGTTCGCTTGCCGCTCAGCTGCTCGGTCGAAACTTGGGAAATAAACCGCAAAATTGACAACAAACCGCGAATGAAGAAAAAAGTTTATGAAATATAGGCAGAAAAAAGGCAAACAAAGCTAATCACAATTTGTTGTAAATTTTTGCCATTAATTTAGAAACGAGTTTCAGAAAAAATTATTGAGTGCGCTCCGCCGAGTACGAGTACGGAATAATACAAATAATAAATTAAAAACGACTTTGTCGCCGCTGATAAGATTCTCCTCCGTCGCTTATCAAAATTCACATATAAACTTGAGTGTTTAGTTTGGTGTGCTATTGTGATTTGGATGATATATACTACAAATGTGCTTCATTATAAATAAATTTTCGTCTTAATCGCCACATGTGTGACCTAGTTTAAAAAAACACAACACACACACACACGCACGCATAATATAACAATGAAATTTACATATAAACGTGGACCTCACCATGCATAATAATTAATAACGAAAACGAGAATGAGGATGAGGAAAAATTAAACAAAAATACAATATCAATTAATTTGTAAACACCGCGCGGGATGAATGTTTAAACTGTGTGCATTTAATTGAAAATCTTCGAGGAAGTAATATAAAAACGCCTTTACAACAAATCAACACAGCATCATTTTCTGGCCTGTTTATAAAGCAACAAGGTGTTAAAACGAAAAAGGCAGATAAGGTGGGTAAGAATATGCAGATATATTTATAAGAAAAGTCTATAAACGACGGTTAAAATCCACAAAAGAGATGCAAAATGAAAAAGTTGAAGTCAAACATAAAAAATTATGGGGTCTTGCTGCTCTATGGAAAGACATAAATGTATTTGAGAATCGTAAACAGAGGCTATAAAAATAGGTAGAAAGATAACTTTGCAGCTTAAAAGGTAATAAAACAGGAGTCCTACTCAGTTTCGTAGACTAAATGATCTAAATTTAAACTGTAAGAAATACTTATAAGTATAAAATACACGAAAAAGTAGATTTATGATCATGTTTGAACTTTCCAGTTGCAACTACCAAGAAATATTTATAGTATCATTAAAAGTATCGGACATAAATCTTGTAAGTTCACAACTTTCTTATGCAGGGATTACAAATTGTAAGTAGCCCTCCATTTCTGTGGCATCTCCCCTCTTTTCCTAAGCCGACACACTGGTAATTTATGATCCCAGGCCAATTAAAAAATTAACTCAAGCCAGAAAAGAGGGGCTCTGTAGACACACTCTTTCCCAATACAGAAACCGAAAACTCTAAAATCAAAATCTAGCCTGCCCTCTGAAATTGGAGAGGCACAAAAACTAAAAACAAAACCAAAACCGAGACAAACAAAAAAAGAGCTAAGCATAGCACATAAACCTATAAACATTTCGGGTTTTATTTATGTATCGAGCACGCTGTTTAGGCGGCTTGGCTTGATAGCGGCTCAAGTTAAGCGTTTCCTGTCGCGTCAACAGAATCTTTTGGGAATCAACCGATACCCCCAAGGGGCCACAAAAATGTTTTGGGATAAAGAAAATATGAATCTGATTGAGGTTCGCTGTCTTTTACTATATTTTTTTTGTACCCATTTGTGCAAATAATCAAAGGCAAACACACACACGCACACGCTGTGAGACACCTACAATGGAAACAAAAGAAAATCAACACACAAAAATTTAGCTTGTGTATAGCAACAAAAAAATTAAATTGAAATTGATTTCAATTTGAATTTTGTTCGCTCGCTTTGAGTTCAGTGTCAGTGCGAAAATTCAAGGTTGAAAACTATTGACTTCTCGCACAAGAAATAAAAATACAAAAAAATAAAATAAAACAAATTCCACAAAAAGCTTCAACACGTGATAAAATAGTTGAGACCCCAAAAAAAAAAAAAACATTCGTACAAATGTTTGGTTGAACTTCTGTGGAAAAACATGGGACAAGAAACCCAAAACATTCCTCTTACCCCTTATCTTAACTTGAGAGCCAGTTTTGAAGTTTTCTAGGCGCCATAGCATTACGTATACGCCCTGAGTCCAGCTGCTACCTCGCTTAATTGTCTGCTGAACTTTCGATTTATGCCATCTCGTTGGTAAATCATACTGGCTGTGACTCAAGACTTAATCTGGCGATAAGAGTTATAAAGTAGGCAGGCAGGCAGGTATTCAATAAAAATTCGCTTGAAAAAAAACCAAAATAAACCAAAAAATATAAATTAGGGCAGAGCTGTGTATGGTGTGAGTGATTAGAATGCTGATTGTGCTTGGAAGTAAATAAAAACAAACGAATTTAGTAAAAAGCCTTTAAAGAAGGTCGTCACAAATAAAATAACTCCTAGTCTGGAAAAAGAATTAAGTTTGAAATCAAATTAACTAATAATAAGAAGAATGAATTTCTTCAGAAATTCATTTAAGTCATCCTTATTGAGCTGCTAGAATTGTTATCTTTTAATTTTCCCCTTCAATCAACAGAATATTAAATAGAATTACTCTATCATGAAATAACATTTTTCAATAGCCTCATAGAGCCCCCAAGTAAAACTGTCAGTAAAAGTGTTTATCATAACTGGTTCTAATCATTTATCACATAAATAACTTTATTATTTACACATTATAGATGTCATAATTCATTTACATGTTGTCGAAAAAAAATATTTGCTTTTACATTAACATTATGCAAATACCAGATAGTGGATGATCTATCAAACGGGTGATATTGCATCATTATTGTGATTCCCTCTCCCGAGATGAGCAGAAACGAAACTTTGCTTTCTATTTTATTTATTTGTTTGTTTTCCAATCAATTTGTTTGAAACAGATTTTTACATATTATTATTTGTTCAAATTGCCGACTATATAGTCTATATACGGTCATTTACTTTTGCTGGCCTGGCCTTCAACTTTCTTTGTTGCCTCTGGCGGAGGAGATTTTTGTGATCTTTCCAGAGGCTGTTCCGCGGATGCGGCCATTAAGCAAACTTGTTTGCTTTTCTTTGAAATTTCTTTAGCAAAAATATATTTAAATACACAATTATATATACATATTTATATTGTTGTTGTTGTTGTTGTTGTTGTCTTGCTGTCTCTTGATTTTTTAAGTGCTACTGAGTCATAAATGTTTTTAATGTTTACAAACACACACACTCGCCTTAAGATCCCTATGTTTTTGGGTCAGTTTGTGGAAAGGGACTGATCTATTTATATAGCCCAGGCGGGGGCGTAAACTTCCTGAACTGAAATTTGTTTTCATTTGGTTGCTAAAAACAAAACATACGTTTGCCATTTTTTGTATGTTGGCTTATCTGTTCATTCGCAGCTGCTCGATAAGATAAGTTCGCCCCTAAAAAAATTAGAGGGGACAACAAAATTTGCAAGTGCCTGACCCATTGAAAGTATAGCTTATCAGTTGCCCATTGTGTCGTCTCTGGTGGCACGCGGCTGTTGGCTGATAAGAGGAGGGGGCTCAATATGGGGGACAGCTGACGAGCCAGACGCCTCTGGAGGGTCTGGTTTCTTGCCACTCGATAAGGAGGCGCGAAAATCACGTGTTCCTGCCTCCTCCCTCTAGTTAAGAGTCAGCAGCGTCATCAGACGCGATTCTTCGATCCCTTTGTGAAATGCATTTGCTTTGCTATTTGTCTAGCTGTCTACAGACGTATCGGTCTGAAAAGCTATATAGAGTCTGGAAGTCACGATTCATATTCCGATTTCGAACCAGCAAGAGTGGCAGCAGCAGCTTCTGTTTGTTTAAGTATTCAGAGGACTTGTGCTAATTTCTTTTTGTGCTGCTAAATCGATATAAATTGATTTTAATTATTTATCTATTAGCGAATCGGTGGGGAAGCAAACATTTGATTGGTTGGCTTGGCAGGATGGGAGAGTATAGATATTTTTGGAATTTCCATTGCGAAAGTATTGTATGTATTAGGCACTTTCAAAGTGCCAGATCAATCATCATATCAATTAGTATTAGCCAAAAAAAAAAAAACGTAAAGTTGCAATAATTATAATTGTCACTTTGAGACTTTCTAAGCGATTCTAAAAGTTTGTAGCTTTGTTAGAAAGCAAAGTTCATGGGAGTTCGAGGGGGGTTTCGACCTTTCTGTGCGATTCTCAAAGTCTTAGTTAAACTATGGAAATGCAGTTTGAAATGCAAATTGATACGTTTCTTATATATTAACCTAGATCTCTCACCTCCAACGACTATATATATATTCACTTCCCTGAGTTCGCTGATCGATGTCTTGCCACACGCTCTCTACCCCTTCCTCTTCCATCATCAATACAACAATTTACAATTTGCGTCAGCTGTTTGTATAAGAAGTAAAATGTATATAAAACGAAAAGCAAAACAAAAACCGAACGCGACAGAGCGTGTTATATCATCAATTGCTAGACATTCGCTATGCTATGCTAAACATTCCGGCATATGAATACTAAATAAGCGCTAGAATCGAATGCCCAATACCTAGACTTGTACACTTAGAGAAATCTACGTATTTATGGTACTTCTAGTTTAGATTTCAAGTATATTTTATCATAAATATTTTTCTCTGTGTACCTATTTATACCCCTACAAAACGAGGCCACTAAAAATAAGTCGAAGGAACTTGCACTTGGCTCTGTGGCTACCTCAACATAAATTCGTTTATCACTGTGTGGGTGGGTGTTTTCTTCGTTGTATAGGTGCTTTGTGGCTGTGTGTGTAGGTGCATGCAAAAATTGCGTGTTCCTAAAATTAGAGCAAAGTGTGAGCCATAGCACAGAGACAAAGGTAAAAGTGACTTGCACAAATTGCACAAAACAAAGAAATGGCTAAAGAAGTGGCGAAAGGTTGGATTTTCACAAGGGGTTTTCACAGAGAAACCTAATTAAGATTAGGATAATCATTTTATCAAAAGGCAGTCAACCTCTTAAATCAGTTTTTAGTGCAGTATGAAACCGAAATAAGGCAATACCAAGGGGTACCGTTAAACCCCTATGACTAAGCCACTGCACAAAAGACTTTGGCCAGAAAGAAATGGAAACTCAATGTGAAAGAGAACACACGAGTGGGGAAAAACTGCATGCAGTCGGAACATGTGACGGATGATGACGAATGTTGACAAAAACAAATCCCAGAGCGTAAGGCGGGAAAAGCGGGGCGACCAGATGGAAATTATAGAGCACCTATAGCCCCGCCTAAACCCCGCAACAGACATTGACCACTGCCACTGACCCATTGATAATGCGGAACGGAAGTTTCTCCCAACCAGCGGTTCTCTGTCTTACTCTTTTTTTTTCTGTTTTGCCTTTGTTTTTATTTTCATTTTTAGTTTATTGCTTTTGTTTTGAGCTAGTAGGACTGAATTTTGATCTCCCACTATGAAATATTGATAATGCAAACGTGTCGCGCTCGGCTGTTTCGACTTAATCACAATGTGGATCTAGTTCTAGGTAAATATAAGTAAAATAGAAAGTGGGAAATGCAAATTTTACAGATTCTTTGTTAAGAAAAGGATCGTTGAACTTGTTTTTATAATCTATAATAGAAACTATAACACATTTGTTAGAATAGACAGAAAATTTTCACTCAACAAAATCATTGCTGAAACTTGAAAAATAAACAACCAGCTGATATGAGATAATTTATTATAATTTATACATAATCTGATCTCAATACAGAAAAACCAGTTCATTAAAAAGTATTTAAAAGTTTTTGAGCCAGTATAAAATTTTATTACGCATACGTAAGTTGTTAAATTTAGTTAAACATGGCGTATGAGTAATTTTGTCATTTCCACACAAGTGATCCTTTCTTTCGCAAGAATTTCAATTTCCTCATTTCGTTTTTCTTTGACTTGTGCTCCCCAGCCGTGCAAATATGGCCTAAGAACGCTCTACACTTACAAATGTATATGTACATACATACACAGAGCAATCAACAAGCACATGAAATCCCCCACTCACACTAGCGAACAAGAATCTAGTATAAATTCTGGCGAAATGTAAAAGCTTCCATTTTTGTTATTGTAAACCAGCAGCGAAAACAACAACCATAAAAACCACAACAGACAAAACTCGTCAGTCAAGCAAAGCTACAAAAAGCTTAAAACTATATTATATACACAACACAAACAACGCTACACATTGCCTATATATAAATAACTAAAGTCTACGAAGATGGCGACAAAAGCAAATAGACGGAAAACATATGTTGCTCAGAAACTCAGGAGTAAAAGAGAGCGAAAAAGCGCCCACGCTCTCGTCAAAGCTTTTTGTATTTGTTTTTTATTTACAAGCGTCGCGTTTTGTTTACAACTCTACAAGCTTATTTCCCTGTATGGGTGAGTGGAAAACAAAGGCAACTCTGCGATAAATTATACATTCAAAACAAAATATAAAAAATAAACAGTTTTGACCTTGGGTTTGCTTAAAATTAGTGCTCTCCCATCGCTGCTCTCTCTTTTCTCTCTTTCATTTAATTTGTTGATAGCAAGCCACGCTAACAGTTTTTTCACTGTTTTTTTCGTTAGCTATAGCTTTTCTTGGTCATTGTCATTATTATTGCATTATTTCATCGTTTGTTGAAATAAGCTGGCACAAACTGAACCGTACATGTGTTTATAATATCGCTAAATTTTAATTTTAATTTCTTTTTTTTTTATTATTTATTTCCATTTCCCTTTCGTTGTTGGGAATTAGTCACATAACGTGCATATTGGTCACGCCTCGAGCTGGAAACTTGTACTTTACCCCTTAGTGGAATTACCTTCCAAATGCTTTTCACGTGCATCCCAATCGGTTTTAATTAGTTTATTTTGCCTGTGGAGGTACAGTAGGTACTCCCTAGGATAACTAGAAGCTTTAACATTATTAAACTTTCCTTCATTTAAGGGTTTTTTGTATTAACAGAGGGAACAATGGATTAGCAGATAACGAAATGTAAAAAATTTACATGGGCTCTTTTGAACTTAAGCCGTGTAAAGTTTATGCCTTTACACTTTTACATCATATTATAAAAATTAATTATACGTAATATCTTAGTAAGTGGAAGATACTTACTACTAAAATAAACTCAGTAAGTGAATAATACGGAAGAGCAACTGTATGTTACTTTTTAGTATCTATTCGTACATATATATTTCAGCCTACGATATCAGATGCTTTGGATCAGATGTTCGTCGACTGCCCCGTTTTTCTCCCCACCAAACATTTCGCGTTCATTAACTCACGGCGCTTGTGTGCGTGGGGAATTTTTTAATGGTATTATTCATTATATAGAAATGCCCGTTTATCTTTTATTGTGTGTGCTCCTCCAATGTTTGCTGGTCTTCTTCACTTTTTTGTACGATTCCACTTGGGGCTTTTTCTGGTTGTTCTTTTTTTTGTTTTATTTTTCGTTTTTTTTTCGGCAGCCAATCTGTAATAAATTCTTTTTTATTCGCCCCTTTGCGTCTATTTCCATGTTTGATACTCGGTTTGACGAGTATATATAGATGTATATATGTACATATATAATATATAAGCGGCCCATTCGGGTTTTCGGTTCCTATGTTTTGGTGTTTGGTCGGTTCTCGCTGGTTTTTGTTGTTGTTTTATTTGTTTGGCCTTCAACGCGTTCAGCTACCTTTGACGAATATTAAACAATTTCAAGAGGAAATAGCAATAATGTAAAGAAACCAGAGATACAGGCATATCACTTAGCTAAAGTAGAATTTGGTCTGGGCTTGAGTTGGTGTGTTTGCCTTGTATATCGAGAGGCGGTTTCCTACCCGCCCACTCTGCTCCCCCAGCCCCCTTTTCCCTTCCATTTGAAACTGTCGGTATGTATATGTACACATCGTTTGACCTTCACGTCTTGGGACCGGGCATTACAAAGTTCAAATCGAAACTGCCGCATGTTGGCTAATGTAAAACGGAGACCTTATCATCTAGAATTTGTTCACTTATCGGCTGTAATGGATGAAAGATAAGCCAATCGGGGGGATCATGATAGGGTTCGCTGTGGGTTAATATGCTATTAAATAATAAGGGGATTAGAAGGGGCTTTGTTGTTGTAGAAATAACATATTACAGTGTAAAATATTTAGAATTTCCTTGAAATAACACCTTTCTTTAATCTTTTCCGGCTCACCTTTAATTAAGATGTACCTCCTCATGGTCATTTCCTCGAATTTTCAATATTGCACGGCGCAAAATGTGCCAAATCCCTTATACTAGATGCACTTTTCGTTCCTGATTTATGAACATTAAATGGAAAACGAGAATGTTGTATTTTCATTTGTAAACAAACTAATTAATATTTATTATCCAGCCACAGAATGTGGAAAACAACAATACCCGGTTCCGCCCCTCCCTGGAGGAGGCCTTTCACCTGACCATGAGAAGAGCGAAGAGAACTAAAAGAATCGAATCAAACCCGAAAATGGCTTACTAATTTTGCACAAAAGTTTGCCATTTCTTGTTTTCTCTTCGATCCCATATTGTTTTTCTATATAATTTTTTTTGCCAGTTCTTTTTTGTTGTTTTGATGGGCAAAACAAAGCTGTTGATGATTTCTCTGCCTTCTTGCTTTCAAAAAATTTGTTGTTCACCAAATCAGTAAAAAAGTATTGGGAGAGAGAGGAGGAAGAAAGGGGAGGGGACCTGGTCTATCATTGTTGTTTCTCTTCTACCTTTTGGCTTGCCTTAAATATAGGCGATAACCATAACAAATAACAAACTTTGAATAGTGTTGAGTTGGCTCTTGGATTTGCAAATTCTTCAGATTACGTTTATCTGTTCAGTTTTCAGTGATATAGCAAGTTGTTTTGATACTAGTTTATATACCAAAGGGATTAGATAATGAGATGATGAATGGGGAAAGTTACAGTTATGCAGAAAAAGCAAGCAAGTTTAAGTTAAATCAATCTTATCATGATTAGTTAATTTATTTAATTAGCCCTGCGGGTAAAACCATTTACCATTCCCCACAGTCATAATTTATGTAGATATTTTCATTTAATCAACTCAATCACGTGTTGGGACCGGCAAGTTACGAACTTTTGAACATGTGAGCCCATCAATTATAATCTTGCCTTGGGTTTGGCTTGGGTAAGAGCTTTAGTTCCGGCTAGATAACAGCTGCAGGGTTACTTAGCATATGTACATGCCACTACTATCGGAATTGGGCTAAACGTAGAATGTCTCAATCGCTGGCCATTGGGAAACCAGTAACCAGTCAATGAGATTGGAAATGAGAATGCTGGCTGCCGCCAAGGTTGTCTGGCCATTATAAAAGTCATAATTTATTCATTTAATGAGAAGCCGTCTCTCTGTTTCCACTGCAACTGGTCTGATTTGATTTGTCTTTTTTTTCTCTTTCAGATACCACAAGACAACATCGGGCCTGGGCGCCCATCTAGAGAAGGAGTAGTTATAAACCTAGAGAAGATCGCGGGATTCCACCGCGACATACAATGACAGAGAATCAGCTGTATCCCATGTCATCGGAATTCTTTGACACCGGCTCGAACAGCAGCAACAACACACTCAAATACGATCTGTATTCGCTGGGTTCCACCGTTGTGGGTGCGGCTCTGCCCACGTTGACCATTAATACGGGCTACGGCAGCGGCAGCAGCAGCATCAACAGCAACAATAATAATAATAACAACAACAACAATAACAATAGCAGTAGTCACAGCAGCAGCAGTAGCAGCAACTGCTCCACCAGCACCACAAATACCTGTAATGTAATGCTAAGTACAACGGCCATAACAATACCACGCAGCAGCAACCACAACCAGAGCCATCATCATCCGTATCAGCAGTCGGATTTGCAGACACCTCGTCATCATCCCAGTCCCCTACACGCAATGCCCACAATGACCCACCAGCAACATCAACTGCATCAGCAACAGCAACACCACCACCAGCAGCAGCAGCAGCAGCAACAGCAAGAACAGCTGCAGCATTCGCATTTGGCATTGGGTGAGCTTTCGGATTTTGGTCTAGATGCTCTCGATGCCGCTTCCCTTTCACCCACCCTGCTGCAGGATGTGAGCCTGAGTGCAGCTTCTCCTCTAAACTCGACACTGTACAATGGCAACACCAGTGGAGCAGGCAGCAGCAATGGATTAGGTTCGGGCAGTAGTGCCTACTTTACACCCGACATGTCGCACAGCCTCAGCCTGAATGTGGTCAGTGAGCAGGTGTTGCTGCAGGAAGCCGTCGCCCAGAATGAGTTGCTCTACGAGATGACACCAAATTCGAATGCCATGTGGAGTGATATCAGCAGTGCCATTATCCATACCAAACACGAGCCATTCAGCCTGGACGATGACTACATCTTTCCCAACGACAAGGCCGAGATCCAGGCGGCCGATCTGTCCGATCTTAATGGAGGCGATTTCCTAGATGTCATTGGGAACATAGAGGATTTCTTGCCGCAGACCACAGTCTCTCAAAGTGTCAATTTCTTGCTGTCTCCGCAGACCCAAGGACAGGATGCCCTGGTGGCACCGCCAATGGAACTTCTACAACAGCAGCAGCAGAATCAGCAGCAACTGCATGTTGGTAGCTTGCCACAATTGCAGACACTGCTCACGCTAACCCAGCAACAGCAGCATTCGAACAGTTCCTCCACTAGTCCTTATGAGATCTATCACAGTACACCCCAAAAGCCACAACAACAGCAGCTATCTGCCAGCTTTTCGCCCGGCAGCCAGGCTTCTCAATCGCCATTAACCCCACCGCCACCGCCGCATGCCAATCGACCACCGTATCAGGTGGTAAAGTCGCGCAACATGCAGGAACTGATGAAGAAGGGCTATCCCATGTCCTCGCCACCAGAGCGCTCGATACTAAGTCAAACCGCCGCTCTAAGTCCGGGTGGTAGTAGTGGTTTTGGCAGCTCGGCTTCCGGAAACAGTACAACTACCAGTAATCAGACACCTGGATCAGCCGTGCGCAAATCCTTTGGTCACCAGAGCGCCGTGGATAACTCTCAGCTAAGTCGTCTCAGCTCTTCGGCTCCAACACACCTGGGATTGGAGCACATCTGGATGCGACGAGAGCCACGACAGCATTTACTCTCCACCGGCTCGCTGGCCGAGGCCGATAGCTACTCCTCGCTGAGCACGGGCAGTGTTTTGTCTCCCGATGGCATCGACTTCTCGCAGGACGATGACGATGACAATTCTAGTGAGAACAGCGACAACTACGACGACTTCAGCAGCGACAATGGACTCTCTGGGGATGAAGATGAGACACGCACCTCGACACCGAATCATTTGTCCGGCAAGGGCAAAGAGCGATTCTTCTGGCAGTACAATGTACAGGCCAAGGGACCCAAAGGGAAAAGGCTGGTCTTCCAATCGAAGCTAGAAGATCCCCATGTGCTGAACGAGGTGACTGACCCCGTCTTTAGTCCCACGTGCTCCGTACGTGGTATCAAAGTGTACAAGGTAAGCTTAATGATTTTAAATTTTAAGTTTTGAGTATTAATTTCCTTCTTTTTTTTTCTAAAACAGCACAGTGGAAAGGCTCGCAAGGGCGATGGCAACGATTTGACCCCCAATGCCAAGAAGCTGCACAACATTGGCAAGGAATTGGACAAGCTGAGCCGCACCATCAACGACATGACGCCGGTTTCCGAGCTGCCCTTCAATGTGCGCCCAAAGTCGCGCAAGGAAAAGAACAAGCTGGCCTCACGTGCCTGTCGCCTGAAGAAGAAGGCTCAGCACGAGGCCAACAAAATTAAGCTTTATGGCCTTGAAATTGAACACAGTAAGTAGCTTGTTCATCATGAAATAAGAAAAAAGATTAAAAGAAATGTATTTCCAGAGCGCCTCATTAATGGCATTGCCGAACTTAAGCAGGCATTGGTCGTCAAGCATCGCACCAAGACTCTAGGAGAGCCCACCGAGGAGGTGGACCAACAAATTTCACGCATTTATACAACCGCCTCGTGTAAGTATCATTAACATATTTACCTATTATAAACCTTAAACTAATGAGGTTTGTTTAATTTTTTTAGCTGGAATCCGCATTGCGGGTGGCTCAACGGATTTTGTGAACAAGGTGTTGGAGAATATGCGCGGCGGCATGCCAAATGGAGGACTCGAGGAGCTACGTAAATCGTCGTAGACCCAAAACAGAATATCTAAAGCTAACGAACCGCCCATCAAGATTAGTTTAAACAAGTTAAGAGCCGCATAGGAGTCCCAGCAACAGCAACTACCAAACCGACACCACCAACCAACCAATAACTGAAACCCATATTTTGACAGGATCACAATTGGATTTGGAATGGAAACAGAATGGGAAAACAACGGAAACATTTTCTTGAATTAAGGATTAATCAAGAAAATACTTACTGAACCTGCATCCCTCCTCAATACACAATGTTCTGTTAAAATTGTTCTGCATGAGTGATATAATATTGATAACCGAGATAATAACTGTGATTTAAAGAGCCTGGGCTTTGTATGTTTTGTATGGCAGGAAATAGAAGAAAATATTTTTTACTTTTTTCGCGACCAATTCGAAACCAGAAAGCCAGAGCCAAACAAACGTAAACAAAAGAAAAAAACAAAATTCCTTTTGAAAATGCAACATTAACAAATTGAAAGAAAGAAAGAAAAAAACAAAAAACGAAAAGAAAGAGGCAACCACAAAACAAAACAAAACTGAAAAAGAAAAAGAAAATGTGTAAAAAATACAAAATTTTGTTTAGATGCTAAGAATGTTAATGAACGGAATGTTAGAATGAGAGCAAGTGAATTTTGTAGGACTTCGCTACCAGTTTTACCTGCTTAACGAATAAGGGTTTGAATTCATTTGATTCGTTTGGAAAAACAAGATTATCTGGAATGCTAAAAATCATTTAAAATTAAGTTATATACAACTGCGATTTATCTGTTTAAGTTTTTAAAAAGAAGAAAGCTATATTAACGCTGTATAATTTGGTTCAATGTTTTAGTCATAGGTTTTTACATTTAACTCAATGTGGAGAGAGAGCTTTTATATAGAACATACATATATACCTACATATATATATATATTAAATTTATCGGTAATCCTAATTGTTTTGGCCCCTCATCCAATATATATTTTATGGTCCTAGGTTGTCGTTCTTAAGTTTTCCATTTTGTTAAAGAAAAGTTTGAATTGTTTCCAAATATGAATGTTTTGCGAAACTTGATTAATTTACTTAAATGCTATAAACTATCTATATATACATACATATACATACATGCGTGGTGATATAATTTTAATTTGTCTTTTTATGCTTTTATTTCTTGATGTTAAGTGTAGGTTTCAAAATGCTTGAATTCTATAGCTGAGAATGAAGTAATTTTAAGTTTTTCTATTATCCATACGATTTGCTATATGAAATACCTTCAATATAAATTATAATTTATTAATTTTTAGGCACACATGAAAACATTTTCAAGGCTTCAGTTTTACTTTTCACTTTCGGGCTACTCCAAAACAAAAAAAAAATTAACAAAAAAATATAAGAAAAAACACCAAACAAAAAAGTAATACCACTTTGAGTTTTATTCTAATTTTGCATTATCGAAATGAATATTTTTGCTCTGCTTCGATGCTAATTTTGTGATATTTGTATTCAAATTTACTTTGTTGTGTAATTCGTTTGGGGCGGGATACTCCTCCTTTTTTTGGTTTTTATTTTACATTTACTATTTGTAGCCTTTCTTACTGCTATTTGTTGCTTAACGTGTTGTGTTCAATTGATATCAAAAGAATTAACTTTCGAAAGGGAAACTACATTCTAACTGGAGGGTAACAGAAACAGATCGAGAATGAGAACGAAAATACAAATTACAAAAGTGATTCAAGTTAAAAACTTAGAACTTAGGTACTCGTATCACCCACAGCGATGAACACGTGGACATAACAAATTGTAGTTGTTAAACTAGGCTTAAACAAATATAATACATAAAACAAAAAACAACCAATTGAGCGCACATAAATTTTTAAAAAATCAAACACACAAAATTGGCCATCAGTTTTAGGGTTTTCAAATTCATGTCTTGGGAGCTTAAACTCATTACATAAGTGATAAGAATTCAAAATTACAATTTAGAATTTTAGAATGTGGACACACCATCTACATATACATATACACTCACACAAAGTACAAGCGCAAGCAAACATACAGAATACAGAATACAGATTATGTATGATGATCTATGCATATATCATTATTAAGTCAGGTTGCTTAGGTTTTAAGTTGGCTTTGTGTAAAATGTACAGAGTAAAGCAAACAGAATTCAAGGCGAAGCAGCATTGAAATAAGCACGACAGTTCCTCAGTGTTTAATATTGTATAATTAACATATTAAATATATATTTAAAACAAAACAAAAATGTATACCTAAATGTTACGGATATTGTAAATGTGTGTGCTTTATATAAATGTGCTTCAGAGAAAACAACAACTTTTATATACATAACGAAACTAAGAAAACTACCTCAAAACACGTTGGAAATGAAGTTCAAGTTTCATATTCGGTAGAGAAGCAGAAGAATTACAATTTGGAAAGTAAATATAATTTATATAAATATATGAAAAACAAAAACCAAGAGCCTGATTCATGTGTCCATTTAAAGCATATATACATATATATATATCTATATTAATAGCAGTGCATAATTATGTATTTTCAAATTCTATAAAATTAGGTATGATATATCAAACAAAAACAAATAAAATTCAAATTAGATAGTTCTTCGGCTAGCCGAATAGTTTATGTGCTTGATGAAGCTGCGGAGATCAGACAACGAAAGTCCTCTTGGCAAGTGCATTACCAGAACCAAAAATCGAAAAAGAAATACAAAATATTTATAAAGTCCAAAATGGATCAATGGAAATAATACCAGAATATGAATAAACAATGATACATAAAAAAACAAAACAACTGTGTTGAAAATTACAAATTTTGTATGCATATGCATTAAGCAAAAATTACAGAAAAGTGAAAAACATAACTATTATGTCTAAATAAACACACGTCAGATGTATGTACGTCAAAAGAAAGATTGTCTATATATTACAATTACAAAATACATACCAAATTGAATACATATTGATGAAATATAATAAATAATGGCGAGAGCAGAAAAACAAAACAATTTATTTAGTTTTTATTTATTATATTCACCTGCAAGTAAGCAAAAAAATGTGGAACGCTTCACGATTTTGCGTGTCATCCTTGCGCAGGGGCCATGCTAATCTTCTCTGTATCGTTCCAATTTTAGTATATGTTCTGCCGAAGCAAGAACGAAGTTCGTTCGAAAAAGTCCGTATTTATACGAACTCCGTGCAGAAAAAGCACTTGAGAATTATAAGAACTAAGAGCGGATGCCTCTAGCGGTGGTGTTTTAGCGTGTTTGCTGCTTCGCCGAGTAGATGGCGCTCTATTTTACATGCTGATGTATAATTCACATCTTAATAAAATTTATAAGCAGAAGACCTGGATTATTTATTTAAGAATAGAAATTTATTTGACAAAAAAATTACTGTCAGGCAAGTAAAGAATATTTACGGACTAAAGTGCTAACAGAAATTTGAGTTTATTGCCATTTATTTAAGATAGATTTGGATATATTAAGCCATTCCAATTTTTTTAATTTAAATTTCTTTTCCGTTGGCTTACAAAATAGTTTTAACTGATTAAAGATTTGCAGAATTTATAATAAGACAAATGAGCATATATTATATATACCAAGCGCTGTCCATAATAAGGCAGATATTTATATAAAGGATATCCAGTGCAGGATGTGCAAAAAAATGTGGAACGCTTCACGATTTTGCGTGTCATCCTTGCGCAGGGGCCATGCTAATCTTCTCTGTATCGTTCCAATTTTAGTATATGTTCTGCCGAAGCAAGAACGAAGTTCGTTCGAAAAAGTCCGTATTTATACGAACTCCGTGCAGAAAAAGCACTTGAGAATTATAAGAACTAAGAGCGGATGCCTCTAGCGGTGGTGTTTTAGCGTGTTTGCTGCTTCGCCGAGTAGATGGCGCTCTATTTTACATGCTGATGTATAATTCACATCTTAATAAAATTTATAAGCAGAAGACCTGGATTATTTATTTAAGAATGAAATTTAACAAAAAAAATTACTGTCAGGCAAGTAAAGAATATTTACGGACTAAAGTGCTAACAGAAATTTGAGTTTATTGCCATTTATTTAAGATAGATTTGGATATATTAAGCCATTCCAATTTTTTTAATTTAAATTTCTTTTCCGTTGGCTTACAAAATAGTTTTAACTGATTAAAGATTTGCAGAATTTATAATAAGACAAATGAGCATATATTATATATACCAAGCGCTGTCCATAATAAGGCAGATATTTATATAAAGGATATCCAGTGCAGGATGTGCAAAAAAATGTGGAACGCTTCACGATTTTGCGTGTCATCCTTGCGCAGGGGCCATGCTAATCTTCTCTGTATCGTTCCAATTTTAGTATATGTTCTGCCGAAGCAAGAACGAAGTTCGTTCGAAAAAGTCCGTATTTATACGAACTCCGTGCAGAAAAAGCACTTGAGAATTATAAGAACTAAGAGCGGATGCCTCTAGCGGTGGTGTTTTAGCGTGTTTGCTGCTTCGCCGAGTAGATGGCGCTCTATTTTACATGCTGATGTATAATTCACATCTTAATAAAATTTATAAGCAGAAGACCTGGATTATTTATTTAAGAATGAAATTTAACAAAAAAAAATTACTGTCAGGCAAGTAAAGAATATTTACGGACTAAAGTGCTAACAGAAATTTGAGTTTATTGCCATTTATTTAAGATAGATTTGGATATATTAAGCCATTCCAATTTTTTTAATTTAAATTTCTTTTCCTTTGGCTTACAAAATAATTTTAACTGATTGAAGGTTTGCAGACGGGTCCCTAAACACACATCGATCTTCTTATAATAAGACAAATGAGCATATATTATATATACCAAGCGCTGTCCATAATAAGGCAGATATTTATATAAAGGATATCCAGTGCAGGATGTGCAAAAAAAATGTGGAACGCTTCACGATTTTGCGTGTCATCCTTGCGCAGGGGCCATGCTAATCTTCTCTGTATCGTTCCAATTTTAGTATATGTTCTGCCGAAGCAAGAACGAAGTAGGGTTGAAAAAGGACCTATATAAATGAACGGCCTTCAGAAAACTCAGTTGGGAATTATAAGAATGCTCAAATGTTTTTTTGAGTCCTTTGCTATCCGTTTCCCAAATATCCCTGATTTGTTGTTGAAATGTATTTGTTTGTTTGAAAACACAGTTCGTTTTATTTGACTATAATAAATTGATAGTTTTAAATATAGAGGCACGACTAAGAGAGTTTTGTTTCGTTTGGTTAGGGACCAAATAAAGTATACACATAACAAATACAAAAGGCTTTAAGTGCGATTGGTAAAAAAGTGTTAAGTTGTTCTTCAGTTGATTGTGCTGTAATGAGACTCCGCATTCGTTTGACTCCAGTTCCCCTTACTCGTGTCGTATTTCAGGCTGCAAGTCAAACCAAGAATTCAAGCCAGCTTGTGTGGTAATCTCGGCATCGTCCAGAGGTATTCTCAACTGAAAATAAATAAAAAAACATAAAACGAATTTAGATAGAGCAAAAAAATGTGGAACGCTTCACGATTTTGCGTGTCATCCTTGCGCAGGGGCCATGCTAATCTTCTCTGTATCGTTCCAATTTTAGTATATGTTCTGCCGAAGCAAGAACGAAGTTCAACTGAGTATCTTCCCTATTTATATGATATCCTTACGGAAAAACAACTTGGGAATTGCAAGGATAAGCAGGACATTTTGGGCGGTTTTTTTAGGCGGTTGAATTCTGAAGGGTTGCTTTCAGGTACCTACCATGCCAATGATGGGACTGCCACCGGATAAGAATCCCTTTTGTGTGCAGACCGTCACCTCGAGTTCCGTCTGCCTGAGTTCGGCAATGGAAATCAGGTACTCAAAGGATGCATCATAAACAGGATTGCAGTTGTCCTTAATTACGCCCGTCTTGCGTTTTGACTCCTTGCTGCGTCCAGGCAGCAAATACAGCTTCACATACGGATCAGGGATGTTGCTGGGATCGCGAAGTGGTATCTTCTGGATCTTGTGGATAGTCACATCTAGCTTTTGACGCTGGGCGCTATAGCGAATCGACAACTGCATTCGTCCCAGCCCATGTTCACCAGGAGAGGATGTTGAATCCGGGAAGCGATGGGTCAACACAGAGGCAGCCAGCTCGCTGATGGGCTTGTCGCTGGAGGTAGAGGCCGACATGGCCGGTGAGATTTTTGCAACTACCGCTGGATCCTCCTCACTGATGGGCGACTCGGTGGACAAACGCTTGCTGGATGTTTGAGATTCCTAAGGGAATGAAATTTAAATTTAATTTTTTTTTTTTAAATTGCTAAACAAATGCTAAAATTTAAGGTACAAGAAAAATATAGGCAAAAAAAAAAGAAAAAAAGAATCACCGATTCTCCCCGACGGGGAATTGAACCCCGGTCTCCCGCGTGACAGGCGGGGATACTAACCACTATACTATCGAGGACCTTGTAAACCGCGGAGCACATTTTCATTGATAAAATTAATACTCTAAAGTAGAACTATTTGCTTTTAAAGGGGCTTACGATGAACATGTTTGATTTACCTTAATTTTTGTTAAATTTCTAAGGAATCGAAAACCAAACTCACCTTAAATGCTGGAGGTGCCACCACAGCCACTTCTGGTGTCTTAACAGAACTACTGCGAGTGAGGGCCGCCACTTGTTCCAAAGCATCCGATTCCTTGTCAATCTCACCGGGTTTCAGAATTCTTAGAGATAGAGACATATAGAGCTTCGATTCCGGACCAGATTTCTGCAGTTGGAAGGGCTGCTGGATAACCTCCATGTTGAATTGCTTAAGCAGAGTGCTGAGCGTGTAGGTATATTGGCCAATGTCATTTCCGGTCTTCTGGTCATAGATCTTGATGTTCAGACTCTCGTTATCGGGATTGCTGACCAGGAAAGTGAAGCCCTGTTCCCAAACTGGAGAATCATCACGCATTATCATGGCCGTCTGCTGTTTCTGCTTGTTGACACTGCACACGAGGTAGGGATCGGGCTTAGAGCTGGAACGAGCTTGCTGGGAGTGGAGATTTTAGTTAATTGGATATGTGATTTATTTTTGAATTCATGTTTATTAAACTAACCTTCAAATGCCTGGCCGAATCAATGAAAACGCTGAGAACTGCCGAGCTCATGGTGGTAACGCGTAGGAGTTGGGTTTCCAGTAAGATCTGTTGGAGATCATTGGGATCGGCAGTGAGTTTGTACCACTGCAGGCGAACATGAAGAAGTCCATGCTTGGCATCTTCTAAGGTTAGCCACTGTAAGTTAAGTCAAATCATAAGTTAATAAGATACATATAAATCGTGAGTAAATCTCCATTTACTTACACTATCCACAACACCTTTCTTGATCACGCTGGCAATGTCGATGCTGGCTCTGTTTTGGGCAGAAAATTGAATTAGTTCTAGCCAAAAATTTCACATAATTTAATGAAAAAAAAACAATAAATATTTGGTTTAGTTCTTAACAGATTCCCTTTAAAATAAAAGCTGCTTTTTGGTTTCTTGTTCTTGAGTTCTTCTTTAAGGAACTTTAAGGAAAGGTGTGTGTCAGATTTCTTTTGTTGGGGTGCTCGTTCGTGTTCAATCAATCAATCAAATAGTGGATTGCCTAACCTGCCGAGCGACTCGTCATCACTAGTGCGGTCCCAGTCAAAAAGTCTGAGCACGAGTATGGCATGCTGCGAGACCTCGACCACAGCCTTTTCCATTCATCGTTCGAACCAAAAGCAAGGTAAAAGACATTTTTCGCATTATTAATGGTTAGTTCCAGCGGCAAAATCTACAGAGACTACGTTATCAATTAGGGGTTATATACAGGGGTTCCATTCTAACTACATAATCATAGTCATTGGCATGCCGTTGGTTCTGGATTTCATAGTGTGTGTGTCTGTGGTTCAAAGTGCTCCAGCTTCTGCTTTGTGGCTCAAAAATAGGTGTCGAAGTTCATGCAAGTAAGTTCATTCGAGTCAAATTGTGGCTTAAGTCGGTTTTTGGTGAGAGTGATGGGAAATTTTTAGGCATTCTAGTGATAGGTTGTTTATTTAATAATTAAAATATGTATGGTGATTAGAAAATTTAATCTCTTTGAGATTTTTAAGATCTTTGATGAGTTGTTTTAAATTTTGTTTAGATTTTTGAGAAATGTTTACATACAAAATCTACTTTTGTTAAGCTAGGTTAAGTTAACAATTGTTAAAAAAAAAGTAAATAAACATGAATTGTTCTAATTTCGAACCAAATTTATTAGGTCAGAATATCAGAAAAACGTTTTCATTGGCCAATTTCTCATCACTTCGCTGTGTTCATTTTTGGTGCTTGTTAGTAAACGTATTCAGAAGGTAAATAAAAACGAAGAAACACTAAAAAATAAACGAAGAGAGAACAAACAAACGAATTGTGAATGCAGTTTCATGCGGCAATACAACCTGCCCAATACATCATCGCTCTGTACACCTGGCATTGTCTGATCATAGTCCCACAAAGAAAACCCAATATAGTGGCCTATAGTTGTAAAAATACACGCCTAGAAAAACAAATGTGTGTGTGAGTGTTTTCGGGGTGGTAGAGAGTAGAGAAAAGTAGAGTACTTAATCCATAGAGCAGAGCAAAAAAACAGAACAGCAAAAACACGGAGAATATAGAGCCTGTCAATTCTCAGTTTTGGGCAGCGCATCATGCAAAAAGAGCTCTCAATTCAATCAACAAACGCATTACTCACTGAGGGTTTGATTTGTCAATATAGGGGGTGCAGTTTGAGGGTGTTGTGCTAACTCAACCAAAACAAAAAAAAAAAGGAAAGTTAAATCAAAATGTTGCTTACCTGCCCAGGTTCTCGTCTTTCTTGGAATCATCCGAGTCCTTCAATTGAATCTCGACAAATTGACCCATTTCAATAAAAACCGTTGCCTGCGTTCAGGCGCCAAACAAAGTAATCGAGTGATAAAGGAATGGAAAATCAAAATGGAAATAACGGAAAGGCAAAACAACGAACTATGCAGTAAATCGGTGGATATGTGTTGGGTTGTATCATGCAGCAATCGATCGACAACATCAGCAGACTACAAAAAGCAACGCAACAAGCTGTTGGGATCTTAGGATCCCCAAGAAGGAGATCTAATCTCCCAGAGAATACATACCTCACACCAGTAGTCCCACTTGGGATTCACATTATTGTCTATAATCTGGGTCTTAAACTCTTGGGCTCCCACATTGATGATGGCATAGGGATCCGACTTGCCCTTGCCCAAGACACTGATATCCTTCTTCATTAGGTCCTTGGCCTCAACAACGTGAATGCGGAGGATGCCCTGTAATTTGGTTATAGAAATGATAATCGGATTTTTATATTATTTAAAATTGTTCATAGGATAATATATTATTATGAACACACCTCTGGTTCAGGCATCTTCAAAGCCACCGCCGAAACCTCTTCACTCAGAGAAATGGGAAGCTTATTGGGCAACACCATTACATTACCAATCTGCTCCACAATGATCCTTCTCAGCAAATCACTCAAACCCGGCATGTCCATGAAATCAATCACTCCAACCAAATTGAAATCGATATTTGGGTTGTTCAAGAAGAAGATCTGCAGTCCACCGACCAGCGGCATCGATCGGATCAGAGGCTTCATCACAACTCGAACCCAGCCATGGATTTGGAAGTCCTTGATGCCACCCTTCATGCCACCCAAATAGAAATTGATATCGCAATCACTGGCATAGAACAGATCCAGATCCATAATGATCTCATTGCGATCCACGTTCTTGTCGTAGATCTTTACACCGCCAATGCGAGGTGGAATGGTGCCCAGGATTATGCGATCGAAACGGAATCCATTCATCTTATAGTTGGCCAGGGCTAAGGCCACATTGGGCTCGATGGTTTCCTTGACTAAAGTGCGAGCAAAGTGATTGGCATTGGGCCATACTTGCTTCAGGATCTAAAAAGGGAGGCAAGTTAAAAACTAGTAAGTACAATCTGTATATCATCAAATTCCATTCAAGCTACAAATCCACTCATAAAATATAAAAAATATTTTGAAAGCCACTCATATTTCCAAAAATTATTTAGAGATAAGAAAGTTAGTTGAGTGTTGGACTTCCTAGAACCTCACCTTATTCAGCCACTCGCAACGCTCCACATCAGGAAAGTAAACCCAGGCGGGCAACTCATCGATTCTGGCCAGGATCACATCCTTCTCTGAAGCCAAAGCCGAGGCCTTGGCAATATCACGCTTCTTCTCGGAAGTCTTTGCCAGCTGGTCGCGAGCCACCGATAGGATAACAGGAGCAATCAACCATGCCACGGACCAACCCATATAGCCCACCAGATAGATGGAACCCACGATGGCCACCTTTTTTCCCAAAGTGTAGAATACAGAGAAAATACTGTTATCATCGGCGACGGATTTGGTGGCCACCGTTGAATTGCCATTTGCCGTCGTCTGAGTGGGCGTGCCATTGCCAGTAGGTGTGGCAGGGGCCACCACCGGGGTTTCACTCATTTTTTTGGCCTCCACCAGGGGCACAAAGGGTTCGGTCTCAGTGGGATCCGGTGGGTTTATGAACTCCGCCAAGGGCACGGACGGGGTGTTATCGCTAAAAAAGATGAATATAAACAAATTATAAACATATACATCTTTAACAGATATTTCCGATTGCAAAGCTTGCGCGCAGCTGACTCATTAGCGTTTGCCGGCTAAGATGCCCGGCGTCGAACTCAATGCTCATGATGATGATGATGTCATTACTTGTACTCGTATATTGTGTTATTAGCTAGAAATGTGATCTTGGAATGCCTCTCTAGCTCTCTACACTCTCTACAAAAAGTAATATTTAGTACATAAAAACATTTACGAACACTTTGTTTACGTAGCTTAATTTTTCATTTCTTTAATAGAGTCTCGCATTGCTCATACGCCGTGTGGGTGGGGTAAATTGACACAATTTTACGAGTTTTCTGCTGGTGGTGCTCACCACCCACCGGGTTACCTGTTGAGTGGATACACAAAATAGCTTTCATCTCCATCAAGGGTAGCCAAACTTTGTTGGGAAGTTTGTGTTGGGACAAAAGAGAAGCAGAAGGGTATCAAGTGACCTGTTTTAACTTTGTAAAAGAAAACTTTCTGTAGTTTTTGTCTTTTATTTATTTACGTTTTTTGTTATGGTATTCGGACAAATCACTAAATCTTCTTATATACTTAAATATTAAACTAATTCTCTTTGATCTTAAGTAACTTTGTTGTTCACTTTGATTAGCTTATGAATTTTCCAAAACTTTTAATATAATTTTACCAGCTTTATAGTTTTTTGCTAAATCAGCGCTTATCCATTTTAATTTTCCCACTTAAAATATTTATTTTCTTTAACTTTCTAACGTTTTCGAAGTGTACTTTTCATTTCCATGAAACTTTTCTTGTATTTTCGCCGTCTCTTTTAATTATTCAACGCTTAGCAGCTGTTGACTTTATTCAAATTTCCCCAGAATATTTCACATTGTTTACCTTACCATTCTTTTTTTTTATTCTGTGGCTTTGGGGACTCATTATAATATAGCCGTAATTTTCTTTTAGCAGCATATATAAATTTGATGTGCAACCTTGACTTGAATAATCGGACAAAACCAAACTTCTAAAGAGATTTACAACCTCAGCATTTTACGCTGTTTTTTACGCTTTGTTTGCTGTTAACAAGAGAAGAGGAGGCCAGGAATTTTCACTAAGCTGAATTCTTGGAGGGCCCTGAAAGGGGGGAGGTTTCCCTCGCTGTTAAGGAGGATGTTTCCCTCTCCGGTTACGAGCTTTGCTAATTCACTTTTAACTGCTGGGGAATTGTTACATTTGCTTTCGTTCTAAGCTGCTGGGCACCTGTTGAATAGCCACCGAAAACCTTCTGCCCCAAAAAAGGCATCCAAAATATATATACCATATATATACGAGTTTAGTATGAGAGTGAGAGGAATAACAAACCCGAATTCGAGAGAGGGTCTTAATTCTAGACTGCCAAAGCTTGTCTGCCTTCAAAATGCTGGGGAGGCTTCCCATTGCCAAGAACTTGAACTGAGCACGGTTTTACGTTTTTTGTTTTTCTTATTTTTTGCTGTTCAGGTTTCTTGGCGATGACGTAGTCTCCGGTATGTGAATGTTAATGCTGTTACTTAATATGTTCGGAATACTTGAGTGAGTGATGTCGTTTGTATTGTGTAAATATGCTTAAATAAATGATAAATAAATAAATTAATTGTTGCGTCACCTCATATTGTTTAGGTTCTGGTCTCCCTTGCTGTGCTGTGTATAGTATGTTTATGGGTTATTTATGATTTTTGTGTTGTTTTGAGAAGAACTTTTTGTGCATCTGAAATAAAAATTAAAACTGCAGGCATCAAGATGGTTTTATGAATAAATAAAAGTGGTTTTTTTATGCCTTTTCATTTGCATTTTATTTAAATGTTATTTATTTTGTTCAGCTGTTTGGCAATTTTCTTTTTCTATAAATAGTCCCACATTTTATACATTTCCTCTTAACATTTTCGGTATTGACTTTCATAACATAAACATTCTATGAAAATATTTGTAGAGTTTGCAATTATTTGAAAATTATGCATTTCTTTGTAGATATTTAGATAGCTTGCCGAAGCTGAAATTCCTTTCATTTAAAATTCACACAGAAAAACCGCACCGAACGGAAAGCCAACTAAATACGTATTTGCATCATATATATATAAATATATATTGAGGGGCGAATATAGCTCAGGGCGCCGAGAATCATGTTTTGTATATATTTTTTTATCAAGTTCTATTTTCCGCAGTAAACAAATGAGTTTATGTTTTAAAAAACACAACCGAAATGGGTTCACATATCAAAAGAGGAAAATCAACTGATTATACGCACCGAGAGCACGGAATGAGTTCTTTATAGACTTGATTACTTCACTTGGTTTTTGGTTTTTTCGAATTTTTATTTTTGTAATAAACCGAAGCGCAGCGAAGTCAGCGACTTTTCATTGTGAACGGCGTTTCGGAACTAAATTGAATTGAATACATTTCACGGAGCATCAGCCACTAGAAGAAGTCTCTCGAGTCGCGGGGACTTTGAGTTAAAGCTCGTCTATTTTGAGTGGAAGCTATAATTCCGCAGCAGCCATCAGAAGCAGCAGCACTGCGGGATTCTTGGCGCCATGGCTTCCCCAGCAGAGGGTCCTGGACGGCGGCACTACACAACACCACAAGGTTGCTCTCATCAAAAAAGACTCCTCTTTGTTCAGCAATTAATTTGAATATTAATGGAGAACTAAGGCACACGCACTCTCTGCGGTGGAAACTCATTTGCCTTTGTTCAGTGGCAGTCCAACAAAAGTTCTAGTTGCAAGTGTAATTTGATTGACAACCTGAATGATAAATTAGGAATCAAAAAGATAAGGCATAGAAATGTTAGATATTCTATGACTTGAAATTGTTTGACAGCTAAAACGTTTTAATATGTAAGAGATAGCTATGGTCGAAATTTTAAAGTTCTTTATAAAATACTTTTAAAAGAGACCTTTTTGGTTAGCCAATGGTAGTGATCTTTGAATTTTAGCTTAAACTAAGAGCGCTATTCTTATTTATAGAAACATTTAAATACTATTTTCTGTCTATTTTAAGTTACCCTCCCATATTATAAAATATTATTATGCAGGTTCTTTGTTTCAACAATTTGTTGCCCAGTGTAATTGGATTGATTGTCCTTCATCCTGGGTCAAGTGGTAATTGTTGTTGCTAGCCAACCGCCTGCTACTTTTTTTCTGGCTGACTGACTCACTTGCAAATGAGATAAAATCTAGGCCTGTGTTGGGTAATTAGCAAAACAGTTTGAGAGTCACAGCCGGATGACGCACACGGGCGTAATAAACCCCTGTGCAGCCATGAATAAGGATTAAGCAGCCTTTTCTTTGTTTGTTTGCTGGCTTGTTGCTGGCTCCCTCACTCAGTTTTCTTTTTTTTCATAAATATCAAATGGCTGCGGAACACATGGCGTATGTGTAATAATCATGGCATCTGCATTTTTAATGCTTCGATGTGAAATCGAAAGGTAAACAAAGCGGAAGAGAGAAAAAAAGGGAGGTAAAAGCACCGCGAAAAAGCGCAAATCAAACGCAAACAAAGTCTGTCCAGGAAGGACGTACTTGAACATGGCCTTCAACAGCCACCCACTCTCCCACGCAGATGCACACATTGTCTGGCTGCAGGACATGCAGGAAAGCAGAAGAACTCTACCGAAGGACGCTTGACGAAGGCAGCTTGCAGGCAAATGGAGCCAACGGATGTCGGATGCGGGTCCCCATGTCATTTCCTCAAGCAGAGAGAAATTATGTCCGCGAAATTCTGCCAATTTTCTCGGACCAAAATAGCACCTGCCCGTGGCAGATTTTCATAATTTACAGGGTTTAAAAATATCCTATTGACTTTTCAGACAGAAAATTATTAATACCTGACAACACACAGGATTTAAAGATTTAATAAAAGGATATTTAATGAATGAAATTGATTTTTAATCAACAACAAATTTAATATTTTTCTCTGTGTAATTGGTAATCAAGTTGGGATCAGCGGAAGTTAGTTCCTTCTTTCCGGTGAAACGAGCATACATACGTATTCTCGATTAATGACACAATGAAGCCTTAGGGAAATTTCTAGAATTTGCCCAGACACACATTCTGCATCCTTTTGAATGAACTAACACACACACGTGCCTTCATTTAATTGCTACTTAAATATTTTATACCGCCTGCTTTGATTTTCAACCAAAAACCATGTAGGTTCCTTTGAGGTTTTTCAACTTTGAACTCACTTGGGGTGGGGGGCGTGGCAGGTTCTTGCTGACTAGTAATAAAACTTGGTCCTCCCTTTCGACGTGCCATAAAACAAAATTCAAAACTAAACTGTGTGACAATTCCCGGGCGGTAATCGAGGTCGCACGATGTCAGCGCCTTGACTTTATTGAACGAACAATGTAAACAAATTGGGAATATTCTTGTTTCTTTTAGCTCTGTTTAGCTTTCGTATAGCATCGCTGGTGATTGTAAGAAAATTGCGTCACATCGCCTTTGATTTATGGAGCGGATCCAGTCGAGCAAAACGAGGGAAGCCAGGCCAGACCTGGCGCACTGAAGGTAACTTAAAGGTAACTTTGATGTGTAACAGGCCAGGCGGATACACAGGCACGGGGAAATACTTTAGGAAATTGGGATTTTAATTCATTAGTTTAGTTTCTGATAAAAAATATTTGTAAAGTTTATCATTATAACTTTTAAACTTTTGAATTGGAATAATTTTTTGATATTTTTCCTTATTTCCTATCATTTCCTTTTCACATTTTTCTAATATGCAACCCAATTGACTTTGCTCTGATTTTTATCTGTGTATCGGAAGCAACATTGATTGCAGACAAATGTCTTAGATACATTGAAGCAAACATTAAACGAGGTCAGAATTGAATTAGAGCAAAGGGGTGATTCAAGGTCCCACAGCTAGTGATTCAATCAGAAACACTCAATTTAGTTTTTCTTCAACATAGTCGCCTTCTTTAAGCATTGCTTTTAAAAGAATTTCTGTGAAAACATTCTAATCACTCGTGTGGAACTCGGTCGAGCACGTTTTAGCCATTTTCTTAACCAAAAATAAAATATTTTTCGAGTCCTTCCGAGAGGCCTTAAAGCATGCTTTCGCCTGGCATGTCAAACTTTTCTTTTGACTACCTTTTGGTTAGCCCAAAAACAAAAAGACCTTTGCCCAAGTTGTTATATGCAGATGATGTTAACGTAAAATGGCCTCGGGGATACATATAAAATAACTGACATGGGAGCCAGCCAAAGCCACATGCTGCAAATGAAAGTTTCACCACCCCAGTTTTGGCCATTAAATTATCCTCCATTCAAGTAATGTTTCCCAGCCAAATGTCTTTCCCCCTAATCCTAATCCATTATTGGGCTTTAATATCGGTCGAAACTGTAACTGACATTGCAATAGCATTGACCACAACTCTGTGTATCTAAGTACAATTGGAATGCCTTTTGCCTTATGAATTATACAGAAGTTTGTTTCTATTTTTTGTCGACTGGTTGTTGCCTCGAAATGCCGAAAGTCCTGGCGACTGTGCTACCAAACATCAAGAAACACGCACGGAAATCGTTGATTGCGGCAATAAAGAGAAAAACAAAGGAAGCCCCCCAAAAAACAGGGCAGCCGATTATTAATGAGACTTAGGCGGGTCAAAGGATACAATGTCAAGGATCCTTTTTAACGAAAAACTAGCCAAAGGGAAAGTTCTTTGGAAATACTACTTCCGCCTAAGGATTTGCAATTCATGGCTCATAAAATGAAGTGTAGTTGACGATTTCTAGTTAGCTTTTTTTATGGTTTTATTTCATTTGTTTATAGGCAGAGTTTAGACAGTTTAAAGAGTTGTAAAATTAACTATACAAGTTTTTCCATTTAGTTAAAACATCGTAAATGAAATTCCAAAGTCAAACTTTCCTTCTATTTTCACCACTTTCATACTGGTGGCACAATGCTCTCTCACTTTTAGTTTGAGCTTGCAGTGTTAATCTATCTTTCTAATTAAAATATTTGTCTAATTATACGGGCAGGAGAATGCTGAGGTAATTTAAGCTTGAACACGCCAGCACCCCGTTCTCCAGTGCATATAAAACGTTCCACTTTGGGGGAACAACTTAACCTAAACGCAAATCCTAAACTTTTTCCCTCGCCTGCCTGACTCGTCACCAGCTGCAAGGATATCTCACTTGGTATGGGTGTGCTCTTGTTTGTTTGTGTGTGTGTATTAGGGGCTAACCACAACCGCACAGAACCCAGAGACGCCTTAATGTGTCCACATTTTAATTACCCTTGATGTCGAGTGCGAAAGGCTGCCACCGAAAAATAAAGGATAAACAGCAACAACAACGAGGAGGCAGAAAAAAACAAGTTGAAGGCTTCGTGGAAACGCGCTGGCTTTCATAAATATTTCAAATGCCTACCAAAGTCAGCTTCATCAGCCCCTTCTACTCTGTCAGCTCTTTCTGTCACTTGACACAGCGCTTTATATTTTCTGTATTTTTTTGCTGCCACTTGGCCTGGGACAACGCTGCGTATGTGTAATTTACATGCTTCAAGTTGAATGAAACCGATGGGAGTGCCTCTAGAGTCGCGATAAGAGCCAAACCTTTTCGCAGGTGGACTTCGGGAAGTCGCCACTTAGGACGTTTGCATTTTTAATGCTACACACAAAAAAACTAAGATGTTGGCGGATTTTAATTAGAAAAATTAATAACTGAAGATTTTGAAATTTTCTTGTTTTTTAACTTAAAACACATTTCCTTTTTTTCTTTTGTAATTTTCAGGAATTTAATTTAATATAACCTTTTAAATTCACTATTGAACCTTGCTTTATATATAATGTAAAAATGCTGAATTCACAAACTTCTTGGATATTAATGGTTGTTAAAGGGAAATTGAAAGCGTTCTCAATTTCTGTGTGAAACTTTCACCTGAGCCTTTGCCCAGTTTGAGAGTCACTTGCCTTTTTGTTAGCACTGTCAATGGGTTTGCCAAAAATAAAATTCAATTGTTCGGCCTCTTTGTAGTTCCGTTTGCTTTCTTTTATTGCGATTTCTTTATTTTTTTTTGCCCGGCACTTCAAGTTGCTGTATTGATTCGGAAAAGTCGCGCGCGAATTTCCTTCGCAGCCGTTTGGAAAATCCTCTGTCGTTGGGTTTTCACATTATCCGCGGTAAAGTGTCCCGTTGTACGTGAGTCGCACAACTGAAAGTGCGGTAACTGAAAGCGAAATTCGGTTGCCTTCGCAATATCACTCATACGCAGTGGTTGACCTACATCCTGTAACAGAGTTTTTGAGAGAGCAATTGAGTGTGAGAGCGAGCTTTTGGTGCGACTACTATTGTTTACGTTCTCAGCTATTTTTGGCGCCAAAATAGAACAACTGTTGCCGTGCGTGTTTACACAATTTGACAGGGGGCGGTGGTGGGTGTTGTGTCCTGAATATGAGTATTGTGTAGTTGGAAAAATGCGTAAATGCGTTATATATATATTTTAAAAACCTCAATGGCAGAAAACCCAAAAATGTGTTGGAAAGTTGTTATTACGTTAGTAATTATTTAATTAATAACTAATATAAATGTCTAACTCAATTAAAGCATTTTAATTAACAGACTTGTTCTGAAACATACATTTTACACTTGTTGTGTACATATCATGTCAAAAGCTTACGCTTTTTTACATATTTAAGATTTTGTGTGTTTCTTTTCCATCTCTCTCTCAATTTGTATTTCCCCTTAAGTTTTGAAGCGAGTGTTTAAATTGACTTTGCTGATGTTCAAACTGAGATTCAAACTTAGACAAACAACTTTATGGTGTTTGCAAACGAATAAAAGCAAAGCTCTTAGCTAAGCAGGATTTTATCAATATTCTAACCGTCACTTATATTTACTTATACACTTTTTACACTTTTTATTTATACACTCTTGAAATTTTGTAATCGTTTTAATGAATATATTTTTGGTAACTTTAATATGTACATAAGTTAAAAGTTATTTCCAGTCTTAATTGCTTAAAGTTTTTGGTAGTGATTTCGTTTAAATATATCTTAACACCAACCCTTTTAAAAATATGAGTGATAAACACATGGTATACTTATTGATTATAAAAATAAAACTTATTGAAATTGCAAGATAATAGCACTGCTATATTTATAATAATTTTCCTATATAGTATTTAGTCGGTGTGATTTTAAAATTGGTATTATAGTGTAGAAGAGAGGCCTCCATAAGAAATCTTTCGGTGTTTTCTCTCTCTCGACTTGTGCGCTCCCGCTCTTCGATAGGAGAGACACCCACTGTAGTATAGGGTGGAATGGCGGCTTACGCATTATCGATGCTCTCCCACTTGCTAGCCTCTCTCCCACTCTCTTCTATTCAGATTTACGCATTACTTTGGCGCTCACTCGTTTAAAGAGCTCATTCAGTTTGGAACTTTTGTAGGAGACGGACGTTGGCGGCGCATACGGATAATTTGGGTTCGTTGGTCCGTTGAAGAGTGTAAGTGTGTGAGTCGGCGTTCTGCGTTAGTATTCGTACTATTTTTGCACGTGCTGCTCGGTCGCAACAATTTCGAGTGGTACAATAATAGACGACAGTAGCGGCAATTAATTAATGCTCCGGTAGAGTGTATAAGTGTCAATCAAGTGATTTAATCTAGCGGTGAAGTAAAGAACTTTTTTTGGAACCGAAGTATGTACGTTCGCGTAATAAGTGCCGTACAATTATACTCGTATATATGTACTTTTTGATTTGCATTTGTGTGTGCGCGCATGGGTGTTCTATGCTCGATGTGCTGTTATTTTGGCGTCTGCTGCAATTCTCCCTTCGCATTTACGTCATTAACCGTTATTAAATTTAGTTTCCACCATTGTATGTGATTGTGTGGAATATTTTTACCGTATGCAAAGCTGCAGTGGAAGGGATTGGAATGTCGCTGGGCTTTCCACCAAGCAACAGTCGAATTTTAAACACACCACAACCGGCTAACAACCACTTGTTTGCCCGTGGGGTCACCGATACCGTCTACAGATTGGCCCAGTACTCCATGGCGTGTGTTAGTGTGTGTGTGTACAGTGGGACTTTAATAACATTTAAAAGTAATTCTTCGATTTTTTAAATAAGAAACCGTGATGGTTATGTAAGATATAGAAGACTATTTTGAAACTAAAACACTTTGCTAACTTTTTTTTTAGTTCACAACAATTACAATGTTGTTTGTTTCAACTTTTTAGTTCCACTGTAGATGACTTTGCGTAGCCGGCAAAAATAAATTAATCAATGTTTTTTTAACAATCTGTTGCCACATTTGTAGCCACCAAAGTTATCTTTTTGTCGGTATGCGTCTGTCTGTGTTTATTTAGCGTGTTTATAAATTTGATTTCGTTTGAAATATTTATGAAACATGATGATACGGCGAATTGCTTGTCACACTTGTTGCTTACAGAACTCGTTATAACTCGTCAAGTGAAACAACATTAAAAATGCATGCAGCTGGCTGGAATAATTACAATAAATAACTTTAAACCCGAGCAGAGATAATAGAGTTGATAAAAATGTGTGTCACTTTTAGATGGTACGAAATGCTTTTTTTCTATCTTAGATAACAATTATCAGCTAAAAACATTGTATGTGAGTAGTTTTAATGGGTTAAATCGAAAAGCTGTGATATATAGCTGGTAGGCCGTTTTGTTGTATCTATTTACGTAATTTCATTGGCGACGTCACATTTATTTAATTGCCTGCACCCAACCAATTAAGATCTATTAATTCAGAAAGGGGTTGGGGTGTTTAGGGAGCGTTGGAAATCTACTTTGTAAATGTTTTTGATATTACTTCACATTGAGCAACTACGGACTAACTTCAACTAAGTTTGAGGCAAAAAGTTTTAATACGAAAAGTGAAATTTCCGCTGCGCAAAAGTGGGTCATAATATTTTCGCATGACTCCAAAAACCTTTGTACAAAAGAAATCATATTTATTAAAAAGAAAATAAGCGGCTAATGCCGGTGTTTCTTATCATAAGGAGGTCCCTGGACTTTTGCTTACCAATTAATAAACATTATTATTATTGTCATACAAAGATGTGCAAAGTCGTGTGCGGCTAGAAATCCGCTTTGATTTACTCTCGTCGTGTCGAATGCTATCAGTTACAGACAAAACACATAGCAAGGCATTAAGTTAACGACCGATATCGTGTGATTGACCCTTGGGTAGTCTATGCTGGGCAAAGATCGAGCTTAGCTTTTTAAACTTCTTTGTCAGTTTATCAATGTTCTTTATAATGTTCTTGATCAAATCAAAAAACTTATTTATCTCTACAGTTCCAAAAACCACCAATCTTATCACTTTTAAGTCCTACAATAATTTATGATACCCCTTTTTGAAAATTGAAAAGGGAAGGTTTATAGTTAGTTTCTATTTAGATGTAATTTCTTATTGAACAAATGAAAAAGATTACCCTTTATTGGTCAAGGTCTCTGCTGATAACGAAGTAGCTCCTGCTAGACTAGTCACGATGAAGTCTGCTTGTTTTATTTGTCTCTGCAATGATGCATGTTAATGCAATGGAATACAGTAAAGATTGCCGATGAATTGATTCTTAAATCCACTATTTATTTATAAATTAAAGAGGAACACCTTTTTCTTTACCCATCCAATTAAACAATAATTTCAAATCCTTGGTTTATGTTTTTTTTTACCACTGTTTACTGTGAGAATTACTCAGCTGCGGTCACGTATTCTTATCGCTAAGCCAATAAAATTGAGGGCCGTTAATTATTTAAAATGAGTTTAGCTTTAGTTTTGTTTGCGATTGCAGGTTGACGGAGACTGAGATCTAGACGGCAGTTAGCCATTCATATGACAGTATGGATAGTAGCGCCAAGCCAAAGCGCAAAAATCCGCGCCAGAATGCCAATATTATATCACAATTAATATTTGCCTGGGCGATACCCTTACTATATCGCGGATCCCGTAAAGGCCTGAATACGGATGACCTGACGGAATGCCTCAAGGATGATCGATCCGAACAACTGGGCGACCTTTTAGAGATGTAAGTTTGGAAAATGAATATTCTGATATGAAATACTATGAAACAAGATTTGCATTTTATGTAAACTAATTATTTTTTAGTGAATGGTTTAAGGAACTGGAACGATCCCGTCGCAAAAAAAAGAAGGCCCAGCTTAGAAATGCTTTGTTCCGATGCTTTCTATTGGAGACGATCATTAGTGGCCTGATTTGCTTAATCTACATAGTGATCAAGTGAGTCTTAAAAGTAACAATATACCAGGCTTATCAGTCTAAACTAAGCCGTTTTTAGGACCTTGATTCCAGCTGTTCTTGCGCAATTGTTGATTCAGTTTCAAAAAGCTCCTGTTTCGGAAGATAGACAAATTGCACTCAATGCCTCATCGGTATCGGATTCCCTAAATCGAACTGCACGTGCGATTGGTAAATATGTGATGAGTCGGACTGTCGCTGTTTCTACCAATAATAGTAAGTTGTGTTCATATAGAAGACATATCTAAGGCTCCTAAAAATAAAAACTTGTAGCCATCTCCCCCAATTCCCTGGATAAGGACCAGCCACTGAAATGGCCATCGGAACCTAAATTAGAAGAAGTGGATTACCTTGACAGCAATGAAGTGGGTGACACCGATATACGAAATCTCATGGACCGGATTGTCGAATATGTGTGGAACGATGCTTACAGTTTGGGTGCCGTTTTGGTGACCTCGACGCTTTTTTGCTGCTTCTTACTGCATCATGTGGACCTACGACAGCGCCTAATGGGAGCCAGAATGCGAATTGCTTGCTGTTCCCTAATCTACCGGAAAACCTTAAGGCTTTCGATGAAAACTGCCGGCCAGACACCAGCTGGCTACTTAATAAACCTGCTGTCCAACGACGTGAATCGTCTGGATTATGGCTTCATATTCATGCACTGGATTTGGATAATGCCACTGCAAGCGATGCTTACTTGCTACCTGATTTGGCTGAAGATTGGGATACCGGCGGTGGTGGGAGTAGTTGGATTGCTGCTGAAAACAGTGCCAGTGCAAACGGCCTTGAGCAAAGTAACCTCAGTGCTGCGGATGAGAATTGCGGAACGGACGGACGCGAGAGTGGGCATCATGAATGAGCTGGTGCAGGGCATTCAGGTAATCAAGATGTACGCCTGGGAGAAACCCTTCCAGGCAGTGGTAGCCGAAGCTCGGCGACGCGAGATCAAGCAGATCCGCTATGCATCCTACCTGAGAGGCTTCTACCTCAGCACCATGGTGTTCACTGAGCGTTCCACCCTTTACATCACTTTGGCAGCGGCCGCTCTTCTGGGTCAAACCATTACCGCAGACTTTGTGTTCTCGGCAGCCAGTTACTACAACATCCTGCAACTAGTGGCTGCCATTTGGTACCCACTTGCCGTGAGCTTTGGAGCAGAAGCCCTGGTTTCCTTACGTCGAATTCAGGACTTCCTGATGCTTGAGGGACGCGAGGAGATTACCCAAGGACTTACCCATAAACGGGATCAAGATGGTGGGGATTCCAGAGCTGTGACCATCAAGGACATAAACGCCAGTTGGGATAATGAGAAGCCACAAAGGACACTGCAAAATATTAATCTGCAGATCGAGAAGGGCCAACTATGTGCGGTGATTGGCCCTGTGGGTGCTGGCAAGAGTTCCATACTCCAGTTACTTCTGGGTGAACTGCCTGTCATCGATGGTGGAGTGGTGATCCAGGGAGATCTTTCCTATGCAGCCCAAGAACCTTGGCTCTTTACGGGATCCGTAAGAAATAATATCCTGTTTGGCGAGGATTACGAAAAGAAACGCTACCAGGAGGTAACACGATGCTGTGCCCTCACCACAGATTTCCAACAACTGGCGAATGGTGACAAAACCATTGTGGGTGAGCGAGGAGCATCCTTATCCGGGGGTCAAAGAGCCCGCATCAGCTTGGCTCGAGCAGTATATAAACATGCCGAGATCTATCTGATGGACGATCCGCTATCCGCCGTGGATGCCCATGTGGGCAGGCATCTGTTTGATGAGGTGATTGGACCTAGGGGACGACTGGCTCAGTTGAAGGCCACTCGCATATTGGTCACTCACCAGGTTCACTTCTTGTCCGAGGCCGATATCATTGTGATTGTGGACCAAGGTAGGATTTTGAGGCAGGGCACCTATCAAGAACTGATCAACAGTGATCTGGACTTTGCAAAGCTGCTCGAGAGGCCCAAGGAAGAGGAGGAAGCGGAAAACAGTCGCATTCAATCGTCTCCACATAGTTTGAGCTTGGAGAGCGACGACGAGGACATACCCTTCATCGATGGCGTAAAAGATGGTTATCAGCAGTTGAGAAAGCAGAGCAGCTCGGTCCATGGCAGCAAGTCGGTGAGTTAAGAAATATTTGCAACTTTATGACCTGGTTATTAATGAATTACATCTCCAGTTGGACAGCACACAGCAAGATGAAGAGGTAGATGAGGATGCTCTGGCTGAGGCTCAAGCATCTGGTGGGATTTCACCTCGAGTTTGGTACGAGTACTTCCATGCGGGAAGTACTCTCCTGAGCTTCAGTCTCATGGTGTTTGTGATGATAATGTCCCAGGTGGTGTGCAGCAGTTCGGACTTCTTTGCCAATATCTGGACACAGCAGGAACACCAGAGATCGCAGGGAGAGGCCACCACATATACCACCTTTGAGTGCATGTACATTTACGGAGCTCTTATCATCGCCGTGGTGATCATGTCAACGTTCCGAGGCTTTCTGTTCTTTAAGATCTGTATGCATGCCTCAAAGGTGTTGCATGACCGCATGTTCGCATGCATCTTGCACGCCACAATGCGATTCTTTGATACCACTCCGTCGGGAAGGATTCTGAATCGTTTCTCCAAGGATATGGGCGCCATTGATGAGTTGCTTCCGCGTGCCATGATGGACTTTATACAGATCGCCTTGGTGATGTTTGGCATTTTGATTGTGATTGGAATACTGAATCCGGTTCTGGTGGCTGCCATGTTGGTGGTGGCAATTGTGGATATACTCATCTTGAAGTTGTACCTGAGACCGTCTCAGGACCTCAAGCGTTTGGAGGGCATCTGCCGCAGTCCGGTATTCTCTCACCTGAGCGCTTCTCTCTCGGGTCTGGCTATTATTCGTTCCCGTCAGTTGCAGGATGTGGTGGCAAAGGAGTTTGATTTGCTGCAGGATGTGCACAGCAGCGTTTGGCAACTGACCATGGCCTCGAATACGGCTTTGGGATTGTGGTTAGATTGTGTCAGCTGTGTCTTCCTCACCGCAGTCACCTTCAGTTTCATCATCTCCAGTGAATGTGAGTTTTTTAAATAATATTTTATGGATCTCTTTTATACTTTTCTTATACCCCCTCAGCGACTTACAGTGGCAACGTTGGCTTGGCCATTGCCCAGGCTATGATCTTAACCGGAATGGTGCAATATGGAGTGCGACAGGTGGCCGAGTCCTTGCAGCAAATGACCAGCGTGGAGCGTGTTTTGCAGTACACAGAACTTGAACAGGAACCGGCGCTGAGCGAGAAGACCCCACCGCAGCAGTGGCCACCTCGTGGTCAGGTTGAGTTCCGTAATATGAACTGTCGCTACGATCCCAATGGATCCCCGGTGCTTAAGAACCTGAATCTCACCATCGAGGCGGGCTGGAAGGTGGGCATTGTTGGACGTACAGGAGCCGGGAAGTCATCGCTGATTGGAGCTCTCTTCCGACTGGCACACATCGAGGGGGAAATTTTCATCGATGGTGTTGAGACGGGAACGATTTCATTGGAGATCCTGCGCACTCGCATCTCAATTATTCCCCAGGACCCTGTACTGTTTTCGGCCACTATCCGCTACAATCTAGATCCTTTCGAGCGGTATACAGATGCTGAGTTGTGGAGCGCTTTGGAGGATGTGGAGCTCCGCGGTGCCATTCCCGGCCTGGACTACATGGTCACGGAAAGGGGCAGTAATTTCAGCGTGGGTCAGCGTCAGTTGCTCTGCTTGGCAAGAGCTATTCTGCGTAACAACAAAGTTCTGGTCCTGGACGAAGCCACGGCCAATGTGGATCCACAGTGAGTTATATTCTGGGGTGTCCTTTTCCATAGAGTTAACCTATTTCCCAACTTAACCTCCAGAACCGACGCCCTGATCCAGCGCACCATCCGAATCAAGTTCAAGCAATGCACTGTTCTCACCGTGGCTCACCGCTTGCACACCGTGATGGATTCCGATCGGATTATTGTAATGGATGCCGGCTATGCCGTGGAATTTGATGTACCTCATCTGTTGCTTAAGAAGTCCCAAGGACATCTCCGGCAAATGGTAGAAGCCACTGGCGGAGAGGCGGAAGCGCTCAAGAAGACAGCCAGTGACAGTCACAAAAGGATGCAGAGAGATCGGGATGAGCGTGATCGCGAGGAGGATGAGAGTCAGGAGTGAGAAGCGGTGGCCTAAAATCGCATTTACCCAAATCTGGTGCTTAAAATGGCTCAAGGTTGCAATTATTGGGCTTCCTTGTCCAAAAACGAAAGCCGTACCAAATGTTTTTCCTTTATACACACGTTTTTTATGTTATTAATAATTCATGTACTTAGTTTTTTAGTTAAGTTTGTAAACGAAAAGTCTAGATGTGCTGCCTTAAATGTATTGTACTTAGATATAATCTCCACCAGGGACTGCAGTGTTGAATTTGTAAAAAAAACTTTATTGTAGGCCGCCACTAAAAAGTACGCGGAACATGACAAAAAAAGATACTTAAATTCTGGTTTAAAACTAGAACTGAATGGGGTCAACCTTAAAGGGTCAGTTGGTTACTCTTGACTTAACCACACTCATTAGTTAGTTCATTAAATATATACTGTATATATATTCTGTACATTATTGAAAGTGAATATTTATAAAACTGAACCAATGTACTTGAAACATTAGATAGAAATAAATAAATAATTGAGTTTATTAATATATAAATAATTTGTGATACAATTTAAAATTTAACATACATGTTGAGCATGGTAATTATTTTGGATACATCATTGCAAAGTTTATTAAAATATAAATAATTGTCATAAAATCGATTGTACAATTTAAAATCTAAGCAAACAAATTGAGCAATAGTTCGGCGATTACTTTCGAGGTGACCTTTGATGGGATGTCTTTAAACCTGAGGCTTGTCGAGTTTGATTTGTACTCTGTTTACTTTGTTGTTCATAGGGAATGGGTGGAGTGCCATCTGGATAGTTCACAAGTGACATGTTACTCTCTCCGGAGAATAGTTGAGAGCCTGTGCTATGAACGGATCCGGTTTTCTCTGGAATGGAGAGGAATGATCCCATTGGTGTGGAGGTCTTTTGCCTGTCGTTGGTAGCTCCAGTGGCTTGGCTCAGACCTACGGCTGGTGCATTGCTGCTAGGCGAGAGTGAATGTAGTACCGACTTGAAGAAATGTCGTTTCAAGGACTCATCTGAACTCTCTGAAGTTTCACCGCTTTGTCGATGTCTGAGGAGCTCCCGAGTAAGGAATTCTCTTAGATTCAGGGATCGTCCTATCTGACTGGCATCCCGCACTGAAGAGTCGGCCTCAGACTTGTGACTGCGGTTCTGACCACCTCGCAGCCTCCTTGGTGGACGTTCCGGCGACGAGGCAGTGGTGCTGCTGCACATTTCATCTGCCTGCTGCTGCCTCTGTTGCATTGCGGCTTGCCAGCGTTTTTGCCTTTGTTCCACGTCGCTGGAAAAGTTGCTGCCGGACAGTGGATCAATTCCACTCTCGTTGGGTGGATCATTTCTTATAGGGGCGACGCTTTCCCGTCGCGTGCTGCTGGCCACCTCCTGATTTGTCAAAGTAGTTTCTGTCATATTTCCCCGACGAAAAGAGCGCTGTATTATATTTCTCTGGCGCAATTCTTCCTCAACATTGAAGGAATCCGATGAATCCTGCTCGATGCTGGCGCTGTCGATTAGCTCCCTTTGATCGGCGGGCTGTTGGGCCAGCAGTTTCTTAAAGTACTCTCTACGTTTAGGAAAATCCTGCACATTATCATTGGCCACACGCAATTGTTGCATAAGTTCTCGCGGTGACAGAGTAGGCTGATCGGAATCCTGACCTATTTCTAGGTGAATTCGGGTGCTAGTCATGTTGTGAAGATAGGCGTTAATGCTTGGAAACTCACGGTAGTCAGCACCGTCTGCTCGCTGATTAATAGCTTGGATCAACTCATTGAATTCACTCTGCAAGCGTTGGCTCTGATCAGCATCCATTTGCGCAAGATCCAACTGCAACTCCCGGGCATACTGACCGAAGCTGGGAAAAGGTCTGGGCACCGGCGTAGCAGACACAATACGTGATTGCCCTGGCGTTTCTACCTCTGTGATGGTGGACAGCTCGTGAGCCAAATCCTCGGCGTTCAGTTGAGGACTATAGCGTCGAATTGTGGCAGGAGGAGCTTTCATTCGACCGCGAGCCGAATTGCTCTGCATTGACGAGCCCAGCGAGATAGGTTCCACATCTACATTTACCTGGCCCTGGGCCGTAATTGGACGCGAGTCCGCGATGCCACTATCCCTGCTGGCAGCTGTGGGTTTGTGCTTCTGCAGCGGCAACGCCTCTGAAGTGGAAGGCGTTTGGGAATCACTGCGATCGGACAAAGTCCGGCATCTGGTTTGTCCAGTTGGGAGCTCAAAATACTCTGTAGATTGGCGCTCGCCATCGCTGTTCGATGTAAGGGTGACCTCCACCAGCCGCTGCTTCTCCTCACGTACCTTGGTGATCAGATCGGTAAGCTCTGCAATCCGCTGGGTACAATTCTCTGTGAGTTGCGCATAACGTTCCATGTTCCGGCCAGATGACTCTTCGCTGTTCGACTGTGATTTTGATTTTTCAGCCACAAAACGGGGTGCATTTTGGCCTAAGGATATACCACCAGGATTCTGCTTTCCCTTTTGTTCTCTTTGCTGTTGAACTTTCGAGTTTTCTCGCTGCTGCCTTTCTCTTCCTTCAGAAGCACATACTCTTACCTTTCCTTCCTGAGGTGGAGCCTTATTCCTATCTCCCTGCATCCTTTCTCTAGTCTGCTCTTTCTCCTTGGTATTTGGCTGGCAATTTTCCAGATTCTTGGCCAAGCGCTTGTTCCATATCTGATCGAAGGCACGCATACTTCTTTCCTTGTCCTGGGACTGCTGCTCCTTCTGCAACTGCTGCTGGCAACGTATTGAATCTTCCAAATCGTTTATAAAGCTGCGGTTATCAGCAATAAAGGTTTGCACCCTTTCCATGCGCTGCTCATTCGCCACAGTCTCATCGTCCAGTTCCCCTTCAGTTCTATCCACTTCAGCCTCGACGCAAGGAGTTACGTTTCTCGATGAGTTAATGATTGATGTTGACGGTGTGGCCACATACGAGGAACTCACGCCCATCTCATCTATATTTTGGCGCGTCATTCCTAGAAGGCGATTTATATATTGAACAACCATTGGGTGCAACTGTGTAGGAGCAGGAGCCGCCGGAGGAGAAGGCATTGAACCAATTCCCGGGTTAAAATTTTTGTAGCTAACTGGCGGCAGACTGCGATAAGCGGTGGAGTTGGAATCTATCGATATCTGGCGCTGATCCTTTGTCATGGTTCGCTTCCCATTTTCATGTTCTGGCGCCATCGCTTCCTCGCTGGGAGTGCTCTCCGTTGATCCCGGGGATACATGTTTTCCGTTTACATTGGCTGCCGCTTTTGTTTTTGCTTTGCATTTACTTTTTGGAACATATTGCTTTACTGTACCGTCGCTCTTTACTTTGATGATAATCTCCAGTGGCGCATCTTTTGTGGATGGTTTTGCTTGGTCCCCTTCACTAGATTTTTTCTTGGTCTCCTTGTAGAATTTTCTGAGACGCTGCTCAAGAATAGCTTCCTTTTGCTGAAGATCGGATTCTCTTTCATTCAGGCTCTTTGTTCTCTCTGAAAGTATATCCGCTCGCTCCTGACGTATATTATCGATCATCTCCTGGGCATTGTCGCCATTAGAGCCACGTGCTTCGCCCACTTTCAGCTCCTCCAAAAGCTGAATTCGGATCTTTTCAATGCGATCCAACAAACTCCGTAACTTCATAGATTTGAGTGAGTTTGACTGCTCGGCCTTTAGGTCAGACCTCAGCTGCTTTCTCTGATCATCAACATAGTCAAGGAGGATGGAGCAGCAGCTGTCTGTACTGCCTAGATTATCTCGAGCCATTTGTACAGGAGGCTCGCCCACATTCACAGCCGCCGGAGCACTGCATTTGTTTCGCGTCGTATTCGGAGGAGTGTGTTTGGTGCGCACTTCTGGACATGTGATTATAGCCGGACGAAGTAGCATCTGTTCCATGGCCTCGTTCATTTTCTGCTCTCGTCTAGCAGCCACATCCGCGAATCGATGGGTTGGTATAATGTTAGCCTGGTGGAGATTAAAATTTGTATAAGTTGAAGTGATTCTAAATTAATAACTTACATCGCTGGGCAATAGCTGTGGTTGCTGTTGGGATAGGGCGTCCAGTTTCTCTGTCAATTCAGCACAATCCCGACGAACTTTTTCGCGTTCTAAAGCCTTCTGACCACGATCGTTGCTGATTTTCCTGTTTTGTATGAAGATATATAATTGAATTATATTAATTTAGTTAGTCCAGCTCTCACCTTAGTTTGTCGAGTTCTTGCTCCCGCAGATCCCTTAGCTGGTTCTCGATTCGGGCATGATCCATAGCAGTCAGTTGACTGGAATCCTTTTCATTACACTGTACTGAATTCGTTGGTGCATCGTACGTTCGATGGTATTTATTGCCATGATCATAGAACTGAACGCGTGTAGATTGAGCAGTTGTCTTTGGATCCTGCCGCGAGGACATGACGAAAGTGGTAGTTGATACTGTGGACTGGGTGGCAGTGCTTGGCGGAGCAGTCACAGCTGGCGGTTGATTTGGGATCATTTGCTGTGGTCCATACATCGGATGATGTAGCGGATAAGGCGTTGGCATTGGAAATGGCATTGAATATGGCAATGCATATGGTTGCATTGGCTGTTGGGGATAAGGGTGCATGTATGGTTGAACTTGAGGTACAGGATAGCAATGGCCCATCGGTGGATTTGGCACATTTTGCTCTGGATTGGGTTGTACATTTCGCATGGGTTCTGGCACTGTTTTTTCTACAGCTTTGACTTTTGTCAGAGTTGCTGGAGTTTTGGCCTTCTGCCCGATCCGTATACCCGCATCTATAACCTTGGCAGGAGCTGTATTCGATTTCAGGCCAACTCGCTTTGCTGGCGGCTGATTACGTGATCCTGTTGTGGTTTTCTTGGGAGGCTCTGTAGTTTCTTTTGTAGGTGACTTTTTGGGTGCGGCAGCGGTGACTGCATTCTCACGATCTGCAGTTTTCTTGGGCGATCTAGGCAAAGATTTCGTCGGACTCGGCGGTGCAGATACTGTTGGGTTGGGATCTGCTTCTCTTTCCTGTCCTGGCTCAGTTCGTATGATAGTAGTGGTCTCGGTTTTCCTTACCAGGTCGCTGATCTGGGTAAATCTCGGCCGACGCTGTGGTTCACCTACACTAGATCTCACTACATGGCTAAATTTTCGGTTAGTTTGAATAAACTTATCGTTGATTTCTATGCCTTCAGGATTCTTGTGGGTTTCGGAAATGGTGTCCTCGATTTCTACATCTAATATAACAGGGGGTGTCTTTTGGAGATGCTGGTTGCTGATGGGACTCGCGCTTGGCAGAATGGAGCAGTCGTCCTCCGAAGATTCCTCATCTTCCTGAGTGGTGCCACAGCCACAGCTGGTTGTTCTTTTGCGTTTGCCCTTGCAGCAGGGTTTGTGGCAGCCACTTTCCAAGCGATTCTCCTTGTCCTCCACGACGGGCGTCTGAGTACCCGCTGTGGCACGTCCCTGAGCATTCAGATTCATTCCATTTGTGGCTTGCAACTCCACACTTGTTTTTACGGATCTTTTAATAGCTTGCTTGCGACAATTTTTAATTTTCTCGTTTTTCTCTTGTCTCTGCTGCTCGATGCGTTCGGTTTCCTCCCTTGCGGCGCTATGGGCGGCGCCCACTTGGAAAACGGCCGAGCGGTAGTCCTGGTGTTTTTTGACCAAAACATGCTCACGCCACGCATTTAGCTCCTTTTGCTTGACCTGCTCCAATTTTTCAAGCTGACGCTTTTTTTCAGCGGCCACATCATTGCGTATTTGGCGTGCAAGTTGGTTCGACGTCTCTCGGACCTAGAGGAAAATTAGGTCAAGGCTTGTAAGTATTTTTACTGAGCAATGCCCTTCGAAGGGCTTACCTGCTGCAAACGGGTTATGCGACGCTGACTCTCGAGATCTTTGCGCACCCGCTCCGGATCATCTAGTCGACTTATGGGCTTTCTCAAGTTGGCCCCGAATTTTCCATTAACTGTTACCTGCAGAGCCATCTGCTCTGTCAATATCAAGAATATATTCGGATGCTTGGCAACATTTACGCAGTACAAATCGAAACTAGTTTGATCAGAAAATCAAACAACCAACATCTTTAAAAATTCCTCCAAGCGCTTGGTGTGACCGCATGCCCATAAAAATAAGTCCTAGAAAATGCAATAAACCAATAAATACCAAAAAAATTGTCCAACGAGGAAAAAAATTTTATATATATTTTTTAGTGCTATAAAAGTAATTATGTACTAAAATAAGCATTGACAATAGTGCAGACGCAAACCCTCAAAGTGCAATAAGAATGTATCGATAAACTAGTGCAATTTTCGACAAGGCTTATCGAGCGAAAACAGCTGTCGTTGTTTGGATTACGAGATAGTAAATAGAACTATTGAAATTAAATTTGTTGGCTGTGAAATAAAGGAAATATGGCTTTCCTATTGAGACAAGTGGCAAAGTCGGGATTGCAGAGGTATAATAACTAAAAACACTTATGCAATATCCTTCAAAATAATTGATTTTCAATAGAAATCTGATACTGATGCGGCACGCTTCCGCCTCCACATCCGCGAATCCTGAGCTGAGTGTCCAGGTTAGTGAGAGCTGCATGAAGCGTCTCCGTGAAATTTGCGTGGATGGATCGTTTCTCCGTGTGACCGTGGAAGGAGGCGGATGTTCCGGCTTCCAGTATAAGTTCGATTTGGATAAGCAACTAAACGAGGATGACCGGCAGTTTGGTGAGGACAAGGCTAAAGTGGTGATTGACACCGTCTCACTGGAATACTGCAGTGGAGCCACCGTGGACTATCACAGCGAACTAATTCGCGCCGGATTCCGTATGGTGGCCAATCCGCTGGCGGAACAAGGCTGCTCCTGTGGATCATCCTTTTCAATCAAATTGTAGTTTAAACTTTAGAGAAAATTATTTAATACACATATAATGTTCAGTTATATACACGTTGAGGGCGGACAATAACAAAACAGGAGGGAGCGGGAGTCCCAGTTAGTTATTTTACAACAATATACAGTAAAGCAGCAAGCAGGGCGTCACTTGCTCCTTACTCCATGCTCATTTGCAAGCGGCTAGTTGGTCGCTTAAACTGATGACCTGTTCCGTAAGCACACTAATCTGCTCCTCATAGTTAATACGCGTCGTAGTCTTTTGGATTGCAAGATATTAATTAAGTTTAAAGCAATAGACAAAAACAATAGATGAAACCTACCAGTTCCTCTTCGAGCATTTGTAGCGCTCCTCCCAAACTGCCCAGCTGATCGTCCTTGGCCTTCAGTTCGTGCGTGGCATTCTCCAGGCAGTTTTGAAGGTGCTGCACCTCCAGTTCGTATGAACGCAATTTGGACTCCGCCTGCACTTTGAGTCGCAACAAATCCTCAAATTTCTTGCTAAATACACTGTATATGAGCTGCTCCTTCGATGGCGGTTCAGGTGGATCCTGTAGCGAGTCTCGCACCCGTTGATTGCCCTTGGTCTCCGTCTCTGCTGGTCGAACTGTAACCCCCGCAGCAGCCGTACTGCAGCTGCACGTGCTGAGATCTTTGCTGGGGTTCGAGACAAACGCCTGGTGCAGCTTGGCCACCTCAAATTGGGCCCTCCAATGTGCCGCCTCCTTCTCGAGAAGAGCAATTCGATCCTCATAAGTATGTTGATTGCTATTAGATTGCTGCTGAAGATTGTGGAGAGGCGTATTATCGCTTCCGGTAGCGCTCAAAGCATCCTCGCTACCCAACTAAAAGTGCCAGTGATTTACTTATCTGAGATTCGAGATTTTCTTTGAAATATCCTAATCTTACCATGCTGGCCGCATCCACTAGCTTGGTTTCCAGCTCGCTATTCCTGTGCTGCAGCGTTTCCACCTCCTTCCTGAGTCGCTTTTCCAGCTCGTTCTGATCGCTGATGCGCTTTTCTAGTTTTTGTTCCAACGAAGCAATGCGCTCTGTATGCAGCAGAAGATCTCGTTGCTTGTCGTCAATCTGTGGGTTGTCAATGATCACACATATTATTCTAATTATTTCTACCCCTCCGTCTTACCGATGACGTCAGCTGCGCATTCTCCATGATTTTCTTTTGCAGTTCCTCGAAGATGAGGGCTTCTTGAGCGGAATCCGATGGAACATCGGCTTCCTGCCTGTTGTTGCCCTGCAATCCCTTCTTACCCCCGGCATCTTTGTCCTTTTTCTTGGGCTGCTCGTGCACTGAGATTTCCTGTTGCAGCTGAGACACTCGGGACTCCAGCTGCTTGTTACGGAAGCCCAGGGAGTCCACCTCCTGCTCTGTTCGCCGCAATGAGGTCGCATACTGCTGGAGTTGCTCCCGCAGACTGGCCTCCTTGGACTGCTCCTCCAGGACCGCTTTCCTTAGCACAGTCGCTTGAGCCCTTAGCTTGTCGGGGATTAATTTTTGGATATTAATTGGATTAATGGGCGTTAACTGTTGCTGCCGATTTGGGTCGGATTACTAACCTTTGAGTATTCTGTGGCCAGTTTCTGGTACTTGGCCTCTGGCACGGTGCTCTCCATGGCGACCGGTTTATCCGCCATCCAGCCAGGCTTCTGCAGATGACGTTTTCTGACGTAGGAGCTCTTTTCACGGTTTTTAATAGTTTTAAACAAATTGACCAACAAATAAAGCTGGCATTGCAGTGTGGCCGTCGCTTATTCGGCGAAAATACCAAAACGTGAAGCAAAGTTGGCCGGAAATGCTTATATTTAGAACTTAATTGAAACTGGCCTCAATCTGATAAGATTTATAACGGTTTTTTAAAATATTTATAAAGTATTTTTCACATATGTAATAAAAATAAATACATTATAGAGACAATGTAAAAAGTTCGATCTTTTACTTTTCCTGTATTTTTGCATAGTATTATAATAAAGCAAAATAAAGCTCTTATAACCATAAACACCATTTTAAAAAGTGTTCCATCTTAACCTTAACCCGTTAATTTTTAGAGAAATTTTTTTTAAGTGCCGACTCACTTTGAGCAATTTTGTTTACAAGCTATAATAAGGAATCGAGTTTTTTAGTCATGTAAACAACAATATCGAAGTGTGAAAGGTTAAAACCTTTAACAAACAAACTAAAGTCAGAAGTACAAACGAAGTTTACACGTGAAAAGGTAGCCACTAATAACAATAAATAAAACTTCTACGTTGTAATTTCTTTATTAACTAATTAGTAACATAAATAAGGCGTTACCCAATAGGTAAGTGAAAGCTCATAACTTAAAGCACTTAACTTAAAAATATATTATCAAAGGGCACTTTCTCGAACAGTTTGTTTGACAGCTCCCGGAATATGATGCCGAAGCTCTTGGCATATCCCACTTTCAGCTCGTTGAACACCGTTTCCCAGTTCTCGTTTAGGAATCGATTCATACCATCCGAAAGGGTTTTGTCATTGAAAAGATTCTCGAAGTTCATGTAGACCCTCTTGGGGTCGAATGACACGCGGTAATCCTTAAGGCGCATGTACTTGACACCATCGCGCTCGAAGGGTTCACCAATCAGGCGATGCTCGATCTTAGTATTGATCAGCGTGACATTAGCCCTTCCATGTCCAGTGATGGGTAGCAAAAGTATACGCCCGGACATCTCATAATCACCAATCATTTCAATGCGGTCCGTTCGGCTATCACAGATTATCAAGTGCTTGTCCAGGTCGGTTCTTAAAATATTTTTATAATAGTCACTTCAATTATTGAGTCTTGAATTTATTTTTAGGAAACTTACCTATACCGCTGGATCTTGCTGGTAGAGATCATGTCGTGCACCTTCACATTCTTCAAGGCCTGGCGCAGATTTATTGGCGCATTGCCGGCGTCTATAACGAGTTTCTTCACGGTCAGCGGCTCGAGGGGCGGGATGCCGAATTCCTTATTGCCTGGAAATCGAATCAGAAAGGATAACGCAAATGGATTCGGAAACATTCCGCAGTGATTACTCACCAGCTTTCAGCTGCTGTATCGCCACATTTACAGCATCCACAAGACATTTGTCAAAGTTCGCGTCCCGTTTGCACTTGGGAAAGCCTTCGGCTGCAAGAGAGACGAGACAGAAAACGGTTAAGAGTCGTTTTGGTCATGACATTGAAATAGCTATCTCGCGGACTGCGGAAGTTGCCCGGTCAAAAAAAAAAAAAAACGGCCTGCAATTGGGCCAGCATCCGACCACTTGGCCAGAGTTCGTTGGCCACAGAAACTTGTTTGTAAACAAAACAAAAGTGTCCACGACAAAAAAGCAGATATAAATACAGAGATACAGATATGAGAAAAAGAAGTGAGCTAGCATATTTTAGTGGCTCAATGTCAAGTTGAAGCGCACGGTGCGAGGGGCCATTTATCATGAATATATTGAGAAAACAAAGGTATTCATGACCTATGCCAACGGTTTCATTAATCAGCTACACTTGGAGAAAAAATGCCAGACAACGTGCGGAATGTGCGAATTAATTAACACAAATCAATTTGTTACATATGTCCTTCTCTTCGATACTCGTAAATTTGTGTCACAAGCGGAAGTGTAAGTGTGAATGTGGATCAGTGGACTGTCTGGACCGTCAAACTGGACTGGCCAAGAGCAACCTGTTTGCAGACGATGGCTACAATTGCATAACACCTGTGTACAGTGGACATCGTTTGGGGGAAAATCCCCTAATGCCGCAAAAAAACGATCTTAATTGATCTTGACCATTTAGCAACACGCGAATAAAAAGCATAAAGTTCGGCTTTTATTACCAGTTTTTTTTAATGCTCTCCTCAATTATTCTCGTTTATAATTGCAACGGCGATTATCTTGAAAATAACCCATTACATTTTTAATAATAATTTCTTAGAAAATGATTATTATTTCATTGAAATTTATGTTAATTCCCACGCTTAGAGTCCTTTTTATGTAGAACTACATATTACATCTTTATGTTTTATCTTTGAAAGGTGTTATACATTTTGTTTAGTAGGTTAGAAAGGTTTTGGAACACTTTTAACACTTCAGAAAACTGACAGCTTTCCATTTATTTAGAGATACCCTCGTATTATATTTCCCAAAACAAAAACTATCATAAATTTAATTTAAAATTTTTCTGTAAACCTATTAAAATTCTCATTCATCCCAAAACTAAAGATGGGAATTTTCCCAGAACTTAATTTGGAATCGGCATTTATTTTAAGCCGGCGTGACACTTCACCGATGCTCACTGTAGTTGCTGTAATGTCACACCAATTTGCATGCCTGTCATCGCCATTAGAGAATCTTACAGAGGACCGACCTTCATGTCTGCAGGCCAAGACTCGAGTTCCAAAACGAAATTAAAGAGCCATAAACAATATCGATCACGTTTTAACCATAAATGCGCTGCCAAGCAAATAGACATAGTCGAAGCATAGCGACAAAGCAAATACAATCGATAATTTTTTTGCACTTTTAACTCGCCGTGGTTGTTGATGGATTAGGTTTATATTTCTGTTTTTTTTTGGTAGTTTTTTTTGCTGTTTTTAGTACTTACGCAAATCTTGCGCTGCCGTTACAATTAATTCCTGCGCAATCGCAGCGATTAACAGCAGCAGTAGCAGCGAGTATTTTGACATATCTCGTCCGGGGGGAGATGTACGAAATCGGATACAGAAATCGGTTGACCAAGAGTAACTTCAATTGACAAACGGCACGAAAAGATCACCAAAACACGCGCCCGCTCGATTTCCGTATCGTTTAAGATGGTGACAGGTGGTTCTGGCCGGAGACTTATCACTGTGTACACGGGATGCGTCCGCCGATCGTCTTTTTATACCGAGCTTAAGCTGCGGCGCCGGCGCAGAAGTTCGCTGTTTGAACGGAACGACCGATCGGAAAGCTCCCGCGACTCGACAAACCCATCGATTTTCAATCGGACCGAGCTTTGGCCCATAAAGCGAGCCAGTGAGCGAACCACTTTTGCTTTCCGGCTCGCCGCTTTTGTCCAAGTCAACCAAGCAACTAACAAACTACCACTGAAAGTGGATGCCAAGTGACCAATGACCGAGCCACCCAGCAACCCTGTTTTGGCTGCCCTTTCGATTTCATTTTCCCATTCGTTGCGGTTCATTGAACTTTACCTGGTTGTCAGCGTAATTGAGGGTCTTTCTCCCAGGGCGTAATATGGGAAATACTTCATGCACCGCTATCTTCGAGGAAGTCAAATCGTACCACTTAACACAGGCACTTGATCGGGCGCTTTGAGTACATTCTACAAGTGCACAGGAACTAGTTTTTATTGGGTCAATATTTGGCAACATTTGTGTGCTGAAATCAACAGCCGAATTCTTGCTCCAATGCGAAATCAATTTTGGGTTATCCGAATTGGCTAAGCTAACAGATTTAATTAATAGTTTGAATACAGCAAGAACAGCCAAAACTAATTAAATGGATTTGGTAAAGTGGTGTAATTTCGTTTAACACACTTTAATGACCAAGCATTTCATTAATGTTTGTAGATATTTAATTCTAAATCATAATCGCTTTTGTAATTTATACAGAATCTGGCTCTATTATTAACTAACTCTTCTTCTCAACAGTTGCATACTAATCTCTTTTAATCTTTTACAACACTATTCCTTGATTGTAATTCTTGACTTGACTTCATGGTACCGAATTCAAGTTTGTTGCCTAAGTCTTTCGTTTGGCCAGCACATTCTTTTGTCCAACTGGGCTTAGACATGAATGTGTGCGTGTGTGTGGATATGACGATGTAAGTTAGTGTTTGGCCAAAAATAAACAGCCCAAGGACCTCGACATGTGTCTATGGAAACTGTTGCAATGTTGTTCAAATATAAACAAACGATATGCGAGTGCTTAAGTGAGCCGGCTAACGGTATATATGGAATGATGATTGGTGATAAAGTAGCAGGCCATAAGTGTGGAAACCGGTTGTCGGCTAGTCGTCTCTTAACACTCTTTGGGCACGCAATCATTTATTTTTGGGGAACAGCATTTTCATCAGTGGAAAATCTGGAAGAACAATGAATAAATGCTATTGCGGAGCGTTAAGTTCGGGAAATGCGCAGCATCAGCAACATCTTCCTTTGAAACAAGGACAATATCAACATATCCAGCATCCACGTAGCGATCTCAGATCATTGACCTCATCATCCAGACAAAGCTTGCGACCCACCCAGTTTATTAAACGTCCCAGCCTCAAAACCCAGCCCACATTTGGCCTAGGACACTCCAGCACCGAGTTGGTCAATGACTTCAGTCGCCGTAACTCCACAGCCACCACGGTGAGTCACTGCTCCAGCTGCAGCTGCAGTTCCACCCAACAACGACAACAGAGCAGGGCCAAGGTTTTACGATGGGGCTGGGAACGAACAGGAGGTGATGACACCTCGAACACTTCCAGTGGCAACTACTCTAACCATTACGAAAAGTACACGGACAATCGACGGCTTTATGAGCAAAGCGCATGCGTTGCCAGTCGCCAGAGAAGCCAAGTTCAGGGTCAGGTTCACAGTGGCGACTCATCGCCATCACCACGCCCAGTTCAGTACCCAAGCCATCAAACCACAAGTGAATTACAGCAACTGCAGGCCTTGCAGAACTTCCGTTTGATGAATGCAAGTGATTGCTTCAGTGAAGGTCGCCAGGATGAACTGCGTCTGCAACAGGCCTATGATAAACTGAGTTTCAGCAACGCGGAAAAGTGGAACAAGGATCGGGCTAATGAGAGCAGGCAGCAGAATGTTTCTAGGAGTGGATATAGCAGTTCCACTACGCCTTATGCTTTAAGGCAGAAGTTACTCCAGTTAAGACTTGAGTCGGAGGAGAAGCTGGGCAGGGGCACAGGTGCCAGGTGTGCTCCTTTGGGGAAGAGTTGTGCTTTGAGATATAATTGAAATAAATAAGTATTTTAAGTGTCATTAATCATATATAAATATAAAAATAAATAAAGGTCCAAAGGTATTCTGTTTTAAGGACAAATAACTACCTGCTTATATATAATACTACAAATTGATAAGAAACTTGATGACAGCAATTCTGATATAAATTAAAATCTCAGAACTAAAGAGATACTAAAAAGTATTAAATTCAAGTAAAACCACATCTCGAATTTCATTTTTATTGCTAGTATGTATTTCATTTTTCCTTTTAATAAAACAGTGCTATTTTGTTACAAGTGCTTCGTCATTGTGTTCATTTCGTTTAATTTTTATTTTTATTTTTTTAAATACTTTTTTATTTTACTTTTTGCGATTTTTGCGCTTTGAATGCATTATTTATTTACCCCTTTGTCTTTTCTAATTACCTTCTCATTTTTGTTAGTTTACGATATTACGTTATTAGATTTCTTATGACTTGTGTTTTTTGGGGGTTTTGAAAACAGCCGATGTCGTACTGGTTCGCAATATTACAAGTACAATATATAGTCGTAAATATACGTTGAATTCATTACAACATTGAACAGAGTACTAGAGTGTGAAATAGACGAGGACTCATATTTTGTTTTGCTTTTGTTTACCATAGGTTACGCGATTGTTGTTAGTAGGTTTGTTGGTTGTCGGGCGGGGATTATACAAACGAAACCATTTTGGGTAAGTTGCGTCCGGCTGCAACGCTCCGGATCGCTGCCTGCCTGGGCATAATACTATACTTGTAATTGAATGTGTCGGCCTTTAGCACTAGAATGTACCGTCAGTGGTTGTAGAATGCAAAATACACAAAGTAGTATACAAGTACATGTACAATAACCGTGACTGTTTGTGTTTGTTGCGCTGCTGTTTTGCTGTTTACAAATATTTTATTACTTGTACATATGTATATTTTTGTTTCGATTTTTCGCATGCATTTAATAGGTCTGGGTGCCTGGGGTCTGCTCTTCTTCTTTCGTGTGTGCTGGTTGGGGATTTAAAGGGGGTAACATTATCTGCCTTGTCGCTGACATCAGCAGAGAGCACACAGTGCTGCTCAAAAGCATTCGCCGTAATTAACGTAGCTTTTCAATTCGGGGTTTTTGTATATAAACAAATTATATTTTGTTTTCCTTAAAATCTTGGGGCTTCAATGGTGTGCGTTTTTGTTTGCATGGGCGGTATGTGAGTGTGTATGTGTGTAACGCAAACAGTTAAAAAAATATTCACAATATTTGTTTATTTTAATATTTTTGGTGTAAACAATTCAAACTTATGTAGCTTGCAACTTAAATTGCTTTCCTCATTTTTAAAACTAAGTAAACATGTATCGATGTAAAATTTCTATGACAATATTACAAAAATAAATCGTGCATCGAGTACATATGTAATATGTAGTTGGCTCAACTCACATTTAAAAGCATTCTCGTACAGTTTATTTAACGTAAAAGTTAACATATTTACCATTTGCTATTATTCTTTTAGATACGCAAAACAGAAGGAAGAACGGAAAAGTGTGGTTGAAAACCTTTGCCAAAAGTTGATGAAAGTGCCGCGAAAGTAGGCTTAAACAAAATGCTGTGCGAGATAGAAATGCAAATTAAAATACAACCGGTGCGTGCACTTGTCGTACCTACTGTACGAGTGATCTAAGCATGTGTGTGTGTGTGTCAGTGTGTATGTGGGGGCTTTAGGCGAGAAAAAACTATAACAAAATTAATACATTAGGAGATAAAATATTCTTGCTTATGCAGTGTCTTACACTACCATTAGTTTGAACTAAAGTGTCTCGATTTGTGTTTTTTTTTTCCATCTTTCGTTTCGTTTTCATTTTTTTGTTTATGATTTTCTTTCAAATGAAAAATAGGCTAATTTGTGTAGATTCATATACTCCTTATAACGTTGCTCACGATTCGATTACACGTATTCGATAAAAACAAATTGTCTGCTCCTTCCGCTGAATGTGGACACGGACTCCAATTATCCATTTTCCCTTTTTTTGTGTGGGTGTGTGGCCGTTTGTAGTTGCTGTTGTTGTGCTTTGCTTTTTGTGTGTTCGTAGTGTGTGCAGCGTTTATTTTTTCTTGTTTTTATTGTTGGCGCCACGTGGCGGTGTCAAGGGACGTCCTGAGCTGCCAAAGTTGGGATAAACAAATCGTCGCTTGTCGGCGGGTTTCAATATCTGGAAGGAGCACATCAATGTGTCGTCCACGGACATCATGGCACCTACAAACGTAATCGATAATGATTAATCAATTCATTGGAATCGAGTGACATTTATGGGCATGTCTATTCTCGGCATTATTGATTATTTTAAAATGCGCATTTTCCGAGAGGAAATTAGGTCTGGTTGCCAGCTTTCACTTGCCGGCAGGCAGGCGGGTTATCGGTTGTCATAATCAACGATTACAAGGCATTCTCCAAATAAACAACGTTTATCTCCGACTAAAGTCCGGGAATTATGATGACGATCACTCACCCGCATTGTCAAACTCCCCGCAATAGTTGGGCGCTGAGAACAGCGTCACTAGCTGTCGTTTGGCGAAGAATTCGTAACCATCCTCTACCACCTGATGTGCCCGACAGATCAGGTCAAATTCGTGCTTTTGTAAAAATTTACCCACAACCTGAAAAAGAGACAAATTTAAGTATCTTGGGGTCTATGGTGGTAACTTTAAAGACTCACCTCTGCTCCGAAAGTGAAGCTCACGCCGCGATCATTCTCACCCCAGCCCATGGTGTCTTTATCCGGATCGGACCAAAGCAGATCGCATAATAGTCCCTGATCGGGCACGTCTGTGGGGCGCATAATACGCTTTATCTGCTCCATAGAAGACAGATCAGGACTCAGGCCGCCGTGGCAGCAGAAGATCTTCTCATCCACAATGGCGGCCACTGGCAGGCAGTTGAAACAGTCCGTGAACGTTTTCCACAGCTTGATGGTGTAGCGACGTTTGCATTCGTCGTAGAACCTGCCAATTAAGTGCAATTAGTTGAGTAATTTTATGGATTATTGCTATGGAACTTGGCATTTGTTTAGAGTAGGATGTGGAATCTATATCTATATATATCTATTTTACTAGTACTACTAAAAAAGTGATTTTGAGATACTTCCACATAGTTATATCCTATTATTGGATCCCAGGAATCCCCTACTCACCCGTATATGCGGTTGATGCTGGCGCACTCATGGTTCCCACGCAGCAAGAAGAAATTCTCTGCATACTTGATCTTGTAGGCAAGCAGCAAGCATATCGTTTCCAGGGACTGCTTCCCGCGATCGACGTAGTCGCCCAGAAACAGGTAGTTCGACTCCGGCGGAAAGCCGCCATATTCGAACAGGCGCAAGAGGTCATAGTATTGTCCGTGTATATCTCCGCAAATTTTTAGCGGTGCCTCCAATTCCAGGAGAATGGGCTGGGACAGAAATATCTCGCGGGACTTGAGGCAAAGACTGCGGATCTCGCTTTCTGATAACTGCACATTTTTGCCCGGTCGTGCACCGCGCACTGTAACAGAAATCATGGAAAATCGAGAGGTGATAAGAGTGGGTGGTTGGGTGGCTAGGCAGGTGGGAAAGGGAGGGGGAAGTTAGAAGATGTATAAGCACCACCTACCTTCCAGCAGACGCGAGATAATGCTGTCGATGTTCATGATATCCGACATGTTTGAGTCCCGGATGCTCCACACTCCGAGTTTCGCTTATCCGTCCGATTTGTGCAACTGCTATTGCCCGTAACTTGTGTATTTTCGGTATACGTTCGTTATGTATGTTATTTCATCGATGTGCACGGGCTGCGTGCGCCTGTGTGTGTCTGCGCCGTGTCCGTGTGCGGATGGAAACTACTCGCTTTTACGGTTCTGCCTGTTTACTCCGCCGGATTCACGGATTCCCTGCCTCAGATGCTGGCCCCACTACGGTTGGCTGCTATCAATCGTTCCGATACTCGCCAGCGGCCCTTTTATTGCATTTATTGCACGTTATATTCGCGACGTACTACAAAATTTTATCCTACGTTGGTTAGTGACGTCGATTGTTTACAACGCGAGCCGATAGCTTATCGATGACTATCGGTGGCAGTCAGTGTGACCGGGAAAAGCATTGAAAAATATCAAATATTGTATTCCAGGTTTTTTTTTTTTTAAATTATTTTAAAAAAGCTCAGTATTACATAAGAATGACGATATTTTATTTGACTTCATTAAATTAATTTAAGATTAACGTTAGAAAATATAGATATATAAGAAATAACAATCCCCTACGAGAACATATTCCATAAAACCATTAAAAGATTTATTTTATTTTAAATATTTTGTATTATTTATTTCACTTAAATGTATTATCTCTGTCATTAAAGGTCTTTCCGTTCTCTAGGGTGTTGAACATGACTCGCTTCCTAGGAAGCGGAACCGGCCTTGAGCTTAAGGACGACTTGGAAGCTCCTCGGACAGTGGCCGCCGGCTTGACCAGAATTTCTTCGAGACGGGCTTTAAAGTCCCGACTAACTGGCCGTTGAGGACTTGAACTACGTGACTGTTGTTCGCTACTTTGCGATTGGTCTTCCTCTGGTTCCTCCTCCTGAGAACTGATTCCATCCTCCTCTGACTTCTCCGAAGTGACGGATCTTTGAATACGCTTCTTTGGCATCTCCATAGGTTTCAGCGGACTTTTTTGCTTGAGGAGCAGTTCAGCTCGTTCTGAGAACTTGGCGGAGCAAAGTTTTTCTACGAATTTCCGGATGCGATTTCGAGTGGCATAAAAGTGAGGATATTGCTGAAAGAGATTAAAAATTTGAAGACATTTTCATTGAAATTCCGGATTATAATTCAAATCTTACCAATTTTAGTTGGTTGCGTTGCTCAGCCAACTCAGAGTTCACCCTCTTTAGATAGGAATGGGAAATACCCTTGGATTTTATGTCGAAACCATGAGGCATTAACTTGCGGTTGACCATTTTCCGGGCATCCTTGCGGGTTAAGGGTCTTTGGGGGCTCCTACAAAACATGCCGAATATTATAGATAAAAGTTTAAAAAGATTTTAAAGTCGAATCACTCACCTTATCCGCACTGGAGCCTTTATAGTTCTTGGCTTTGGTTCGTCTCTAGGTGCATCCGACTCGGAGGTGGAAACCTCTGTGCCATCCTCTTCCGTTAGGCTCTGATCCTCTGCATTCTCGATTTCCTCCTGGCTCAGACTTTCACTTATGTCTGTGGTTTCCCTTGTTTCCGGTTTTCTAGAAACAGGCTCCCTCGGGGACTTCGTATAGGTTGGATTGCTTCCCGAACTTCCGGCACTTGGCTGCTCCTTCTCCACGTTATGAACTTGAACTTGAGTCACTAACTCAGGAAATGGCTTATCGGGGCTTTTCCTTGGCGCCTCCTCAATGGAATAGGTATCATCATCTTTTTTCTTTTTCAAAAACTCGCTCTCCACTTGCTTTCGGATGCGATCCATGTTGGTTTCCTCTTTGCGGGTTACCGGCTTGGGTATTTTCGATGCAACTGGCAAGATATGGACATGTTCAGGCTTCTCCCTTCGTGCGCTCAACTCCTTGAGCTCCCGTTCAAGAGCCTCAAGCTTTTCCTTATAGCCCACTTCAAGGTGGAAAACCACCTCTTCTAGTTTATGAGCGCTGATCTTTCCAATCTCTGTTACTTTTTCAGTCAGTATACGCTCCAGGTCCTCCAGACAAGGCGTGGCAACACGATCTTTTATCGGAGAAGTGGTGGCGGAGGCCTGTTTGCTCTGCTCCAGGGCGTGACTCAGACCTTCAAGCCTCTTATTAATGTCCTGGAAAGATATCATAAAAAAAGTGACGTCCAGGTGAACTATGTGAATGAAAACCTTGATCCTACTTGTATAAACTGTTCGTTGCTCTGCTTAAGCTGGATTTGCCACTCCTCGAAGTTGCTGAGCCGCTCTGCCAAGCCTGTAAGCTGTTCCTTTCTTTCGCTTGCCTCGCTCTGCCTTGCCTCGCCACTGTCCTCATCCTTCTCCTTGGATTCCACCAGATTGCTCTGGATGCCAACTGTTCGCTGTTCCTGGCGAGGACTCACCCTCTTCGACCCCGTGCTCCGTTCCTTAATGTTCCGCTCAGCGGCATTCAGGCGTTCTTTCAGTTGCTTGATCTCCAGTTCCATTTTGATGGTGTTGATCAGATGGACATCGGTGTCCTTATCTTTATCCTTTACAGTAGCAGAAGTGATGCTTGGGGGTGTGCCTGCACGATGCTTTCGACCGATGTGTACATTTAAGGCCTCGTTGCTGATAAAGTTCTTGGGACACAGATGACAGGGGTAAACCACCTCTCGAATAGCCTCAATCTGGGTGATCTTTTTGTGCAGCTGGACCACCTCGTTGTTGGATTCACTTAAGGACTTCCGAAGTGTTGCAATCTCTTGCTGGGCCGTCGAATGAGCCTCTTTCAAGTCCGTGACGCATTCGTCCAAGTAAGTGCGACAGCAGATCAGGTACTGAATGGCGTACTGGGACATTACAAAGTACTTGGCAATACCACTGTCCAGGATGTGCGTTTCTAAAACTGTACCCAATGGAGCCTCAGAAAGATGTGGCAATGCCTTGTCCACCAGCTCGAAGTTTTGCTCCCTGAGAATCCTATCCGTTTCATAGGATCCTTTTTATAAAAAATTCTATATAATAATAGAAAATTATTAGTTTTTATTTGGTCTTACCCATTAGCCTCCAATCCAGTGGACCATCACGATACTGCCTCAACTTGAAACCCGTTTCCCGGACCATTTGCGGATATTTGCCCTTGAAGCCCATTTTTTCCGAAAACGCCCACAAACGAAAAAAATCGAAAGTTTGTTTACTTCTTCTTCGCCTTCTTTGTTTTGCTTCCGTTCTTTGTAAAGTTCACTTCCAACTAGTTTCACATTTTCTCCTTCTTTTGTTTATTCGTTGCCATGGTTTTAAGGTTGTCAGGACAACATTTTGAAACCGCCGAACCGTGGTACGCTGTCTAGTTTTTGGTTCGAAACTTGGCTAAATAAGGAATTTTCACTCCATGGCGCTTTATTGAAGGCTTAGATTCCTCATTCATATTTTTAATACTATTCATCTATTCGTATATAGATTCTTTTTAGCATCGCTTCTAAACCATTTAATCATTAATATATTAATTTTTGAATATTTATATTAGGCGCGAAAAGGACGATAATTTCTGAAACCCTTTAAGGCATATTCTTTCAGAGCTATCGAGCATCTCTCTTAAAGCATCTGTCAAAAGGCACAACTCAGTTGAGATTGAACTCTCCGAGGATGAGGACGTACTAAAAGGATACTCCAAGCAGAATGCTTTAGGTTTCTGTTGAAATAGTCAAACTTATAGCAATTAAGTGCATAAATAGCCAGAGAAAACAGCAACAAAATGTGGCACTGGAGTTTGTTGTGTGTTTTCCTACTAGTTCCGTTGGCAAACTCTACGGGTAAGCAAGTGAAACCTGAATATAAATCAAAGAAAAATGTAGTGAAAATTCCGATACTATGATGCTGTATCCTAAGGATTTGACAGATGCCAGAATGCTGCGCCCTCGAAGAGAGCGAGAGCAGCGCCTGCGCAAAAGTTTGTTTTGGGAAATTTTTAGTTTGTTTGGGATATTAACTTGGAAAATTTCTCACTTCTTTCCGGGTTTATCCCCTTCTCTCGCACAGCTCCAATAAGCTTTGAGGCAAATCCGGACACCAAACGTCTCTATGATGATTTGTTGAGCAACTACAATCGTTTGATAAGACCCGTTGTGAACAACACGGAGACCCTGACAGTTTGGCTAGGTCTGAAATTGTCTCAGCTGATTGAGGTCAATCTAAAGAACCAGGTGATGACCACCAATCTGTGGGTAAAGCAGGTAAATATCATACACAAAAAATTACTAAATATCCTAGGAAAACTTGTAATATTTTCATTATTGTTGAACAGCGCTGGTTCGACTACAAGTTACGCTGGGATCCCGAGGAGTATGGTGGTGTTGAGCAGCTATATGTACCATCCGAACATATTTGGGTGCCGGACATTGTGCTTTACAATAATTGGGATGGCAACTATGAAGTATAATTGAATTGATTAAAGTGTAAACCAAATCTTAATTGTTATTAAAATATTTCCAGGTAACCTTAATGACCAAAGCCACTCTTAAGTACACAGGAGAGGTCTTTTGGGAGCCACCGGCTATTTACAAGTCATCCTGCGAAATGAATGTGGAATACTTTCCATATGACGAACAAATCTGCTTTATGAAATTTGGTTCATGGACTTATAATGGCGCCCAAGTGGATCTGAAACACTTGGATCAGGTTGGAATAGTTTATAATTTAAACTTAGGAACTCCCATTAATCAACTCAATATTTGTTAGGTCCCTGGCAGCAACTTAGTGCAAGTGGGCATCGACTTGACCGAGTTTTATTTGTCTGTGGAATGGGATATTCTTGAAGTGCCGGCTACCAAGAATGAGGAGTACTACCCCGACACCCTGGAACCATTTTCAGGTTGGCTTTTCCATGTTTTCACATTATATATAATTATCTTTCTTTATATTTCCTTAGATATCACATTCAAATTGACCATGAGACGTAAAACTCTATTCTATACCGTGAATTTGATAGTTCCATGTGTGGCTTTAACATTCCTCACGGTGTTGGTGTTTTATTTGCCCAGTGATTCGGGCGAGAAGGTAAAGAAGAAGGAATTTTCTGCAAAAATAAATTCCAATCTTTGTGTAAAAACTATTCAAATCCTAATTTTGAGCACGTGGCATGTTTTTATTTACATTTAAGTGGCTTAACTGTATTTACTATTTGAACTGCAACCATTTTGTATATATGTTATGTAGTCTTTGATTTATATATTCATTTTATTTTTAGAAAATCAATCTTAAAGTTTTTAAACTACAAGCTAAACTACTCCTTATCAACTAAAAACACTAAAAAGAAAGAAAACAAAATCTCTTAAATATACCTATACCTTAGATAAGCTATCTATTTCATATGCACCAATCGTACTCCTTTCAATTACTTTAACTATCACTTCCTAATCTTTCAAGTCTGCTATCCTAAAGCTGAGCTCTTGTATACTCTATGCAAATACTAAAATTGTAAATTGGCTTTCAACAACAACAAAAACTTCCAAAACGAATAATTAGAACGAAAATTCCTTCTGAGAAGAGCTCAACTTGCACTTCCTGCTCTTTCCAATCTCTAACTTTCTCTATATACTCTTTACGCTCCAATTTTTAACTTATAGAATTATCATAATGATATTAAGCTTATTCTATCTATCCATCAAAATATCAGCTCCGCATTCGCAGCAGCGATTCTCAGAATTTTTGAAAGCAGCACACATATATTGACGTCTCAAAATCAGATCAGATATATTATTAAATTTCCCCGTTAAATATTATATGTGCTGCACTGAGTTGAGAAATCTCATAACGTAAATTTTCATCGAATGCATACAAAATGCACTATCGATATTGATATCGACATCGAACCAAATCGAAATCAAAATGTCAAAAAGTCACTCGCAAAATTTTTCCATATCGCGTATCTTGTAATTGAGCAGCGCACTCACACAACCACTCACTGACACACACACACAAACATATAGGATAACTGCATTAAGCACACACACCTACACTTACATATTGACACACACATCCACACACGTACTGGACTCGTGCAGTTTGTTGTTATATTCCTTTTGTCGTTGCCTTAGTGTTTGTTCGTTCATTCGTATCGCTCGTTTGCTCAAGTAAAGGTAAATGCTTCGACACCGATATATATATATTGATATATATACCCGATATCAAGTCAATCATATTAGAATATAAGTTGAGATTCATATACTATATAGCATGTATAGGGGCTTGAAAACAGTTTTTGAATCTTATTAAAATGTTTGTATAATCACGGAAGGAGACATGCGAATAATAATTTTAAATATAAATGATGAAGAAAATCTATATGAATGCAAGCAATTTTGGAAGTCAAGGTTTTTCTTTAATCCTAATTGTTTTCTTCTCAACGAGCCGTCGGAAATTAATGTTCTTTTTATTTTCGTTCACCTTTGAAGTGATTCATTGAAGCACTTTTCATGTCAAGAAAACAGAGGGCTAAACTACTTAAAAACTTCCCCCCAGAAGAGATATATAAGTGTTACAAACTATCCGAATCTTTTTATCGACACACACAGTCAAACACACACGTACAAAGAAAGTTCTCATGTAAACGTAGTAAAATGCGCTTTGTTGCTTTGTTTTCTGTTTTTGTTGTTGTTTTTTTTGTTGGTGTTGATTGTTTTCGTGTAAACTTCGTATGATTGATTGATGTGGGTGGTTGGGTTGAGGTTGTTTTATCCCCTAGCTTGTGTGTGTGTTTACGAGTGTGTGTTAGTTGTGGGTCCTTAGCTTGGTCACAGTATACGCGATGCAGTCCTTGAGTACGTATTCTTTTGTTGTTTTTCAAACAAACAAATATGTTTTTTATCGAATTGATAAGAGTTTCAAACAATTATTTAAAGTATTTATCATATATATATATTCTTACTTTGATGACCTTGGCGAAAAAAAATACTCACTTGCTGCGGTCATTTATGATTTGGTTTTGGTACGAGTAATTGGCTTAATTAAACAATTTATTGTTGATTGTGTTTTTATTTTGTTGTTGTTATGTGTTCATTGTCGTTGTTGGTTGATTGTTGGTTTGATTGTTTGATGGCTCGTATTTCTGTCGGATCGAGTGGCCAACAATAGCCCCGATAGGATATCGAGAGGTGGAAATTGTGTAAACATTTCGTTGACAGGTTACGTTATGTATTTCGATACTCGTGTCGTTGACCGTGTTTTTCCTGCTCTTGGCCGAAATTATCCCACCAACCTCGTTGGCGGTTCCTCTGCTGGGCAAGTATCTGCTCTTTACCATGATACTCGTCTCGCTGTCCGTCTGGACAACGGTCTGTGTGCTGAACATCCATTTCAGGTGAGTCTTGATTTGGGATCGGAAAAAACTTAGAAAGAAGTTGCCTTAAAAGTAAGACAATCGCCTCATAAATATAATCTTCATAAAATATTTATAATATCGTAAAAGTCTTTAGAACCAATTTATTTGAAATACCATAAAGTTATGGCGATTTTCTTACCTTTCGGTGATCAATTTTTCCGAGTGGGGGTTAAAGCAGGTGTCCATCGATCCCGGTACAGATCCCCATCCACGCACAACATGTCACCGTTGGTGCGAAAACTCTTCCTGCACTTCATGCCCAAGCTGATGATGATGCGCCGGACGCAGTATACCCTGCCCGACTATGATGATTCCACACCGAGCAATGGTTACACCAACGAGATCGATGTGCGGTAAGTGGCATCTCGCGAAATTGAAAGTAAACACTTGACTTTGGACTTTTCCACCGAACCAACGAACTGCCTGTTTGTGTTGTGTTTTGTGGGTTTTCTTACCCCCATCCAGTGACAGCATCAGCGATTTTCCCAGCGAGTTTAAGGACAGTCAGGATGGCGCTTACGATAATGGCATGCAGAACTCTGTGGGTGAGTGCTCGAAATCTAACCATAAAACACACACAAAATATTTTCAATGCCTGCTGGCTCCAAATTGAAATCAAATATAACCCAATAGCAAAAAAATAAAAATAACAAGGCAAATAATGCAATAAAATGGGAAATTCCATGAGCTGATGCGGCGTTTTGATGACAAATAAAATCTTAAGTCAAACAGGGTCGTGGTCAAGGGAATTCTGATGGATCACATAGTTGAACCCCTTTCAATTTTTTGATTCAACGATTTTGTGGTGTTTTGAATTTTTGTATTTCATCCTAAAACAAGTCA